AAGATTCCCACGAAGGTGACTCGCAAATACCGCAGGCAGGGTCGCAAGCTGCTCGACATGCCGCTTCGTGCTCTTTCATAATGGGCAGCACCGCCCGTTGAAAGCGCTGCGCGTATTCGGCGTCGTTTCTGACTTGACTTGGCGGCCTGAAGAGGTTCTCTGCCATCTCGTGACTGAAGTTGAGACTTCCTACCGCGCCATCGCAGCAAAACTCGAATCGAACCGTCCGCGTCGCCATGCTGCAAGCAACGGAATGATAGAAAAGAGGGCCTAGATGAGCGCTGGAAGCCGTTTGCTCTCCTCGTACGGGACAAGAACAGAGTCCCGCCTCAATTGAGTCGACTACCCCGCTCCTCGACAACTGCCCTGCTGAATGGTAAAACACAAGCCTCATCCTCCCTTTATTTAACTTCACCTAGCTACCGCATGCAACGCTCATAGGGGTCAGTGCGGTCCGGATGAGTAATCATGGGTCTCGCACCAAACCTTCCCCCCCTTTCCTCCTTTCAGGATGGATTTCAGCTCCATCTTTTCCAAAACAAAACCACACATACATTGTGCTTTCTGACCTGACTTCGTTCCTCAAGGCTCTTTTTGGGCAGACCGCCTGCGGTGTGCGTCTCTCCTGTCTGCCGCTATAGTGCGGGGGCTTCAAAAGTCACCTGACTCGTCCAATCAAACTTGCGCCCTTAAATCCCGTGCTTCAGCACCTGACCAAATCTGCCGTCCCCAAAGTTGATCCGATCACTAGTCGTCATGGCTGGTGGCACCGACCAATCCCGGGGGCGGGGGGCCGGGCAGGGGGCCATCACGACACGGCAGCTTTTTTCCTATCCCCACCTATCCCACGATTCGGCTTCTCTAATCGTCGCATCGCTCAACCTCTCCAACCTCTCCTCCGCTGCGACCATGTTTTCGGGCACCGTGTTGCCTACGAAGTCCCTCTCTCGCGCCTCTGACAGGAGCATGATACCGTCCAACGACTTGCACCGCGACAGCTGGACGAGAGGCCGGCCCCCGTCCCTACTCCCGCCCCGACGCCAACCTTGACTCCGACCTCGACTCTGACCTCGAAACGGTCCGCCCGCTAGCAGGGTTAGGCTACTCCGTCCACGCCTTCTAAGAGGAGCCGCGACTCTAGAAGCGCCAGTATTGCAATACCGTCCTGCGAGAATAAAAGTCTACAACAACTAGAAGACCTCCCCCGTCTATCGATTGCGGAAGATAGTACGAATTCTTCTGCCAATCTCCCGTCTCCGTCGACTATAGTCGACGCTGACGACTCCTGTATCACTCTGGCTCCTTCCCCGGATCCAGACGGCGGGGCCAGGCCGCATCGCAGTCGCCATCCCCTAAAGAAGTATTCTTACGAAGACTAGGAACTTACGTTCGTGTAAGAGAAGATGGGAGCTGGAGCCCATGCCAATCATTTCCACATGCGGGGTGGGAGGCGTGTGTCCACCGGAGACAGCCAGCAGAGAGGGTCGAGGTCGTATAAGACCGGTCGGGGTCCATCATCCTCATACAAAACATCGATTTACCGACCACCGTATATATTGTATAAGCGTCTATCTCAGAAACATACCCTATCTCCTAGGAATAGTCTCCGCAAACCAGTCGAGAACAGACCTCTTATCCTTAAGGCTTACCAAGGCCCGCGCCCGTTCTAACGCTGCAGTCTTTCCCTGGGCAACTCTGTGGTCTTGCCTTGAGACGACGGATTTATATATGCCTTGCGCCGGATACGCGAAGATACCAAATGTGGCTGCGAGTTGTCAGTGTGGTGTCACAGCCATAATCGATCAACTGATAACTTGCCTGTTCCCGACTTTGTGACGAGCTCGACGCTGCCTTTGCCGACGCCCTTCATGAAGCCCACGGCTCCCTCCTTTTTTGCCCCCTTGTATGGTTCAGTGACAAGTCCGGTCACGCTGTTGTACAATCCCAACCCGAGGGCCTGGCAGCATACCCATGCGTCAGTACATGAGGTCGTACCTTGTGAGAGAGAAAGGGTGGTGGAGGGAGTGCTGCTGCGAGCCATACCTTTCCGCCAACTACCGCTCCGCTCTTCCAGTCCGTTACTCGGCCGTAGTCGTCGGGCTCTGCCCCGTACAGCTTGGGGACGTTCCTGAGACCCTCCGTAAACGCCAGTGGCATGTCGAGTAACGCACCCTTGGTCATGGACCCGTATACCTTGCCGAGACCCTTCCCAGCGGCCATGGCCGCCGCCCCGGCGCTCCCGTCTCTGGAGCCCGGCGTTCCGTCGGCGCCTGGCTGGGTGCGCCGTCGCTTGTACTCTTTGAACGGATCGATGAAGATCCCGCCGAAAGCCATCGTCATATCCATCAGGGTGCCGAGGACGGAGGAGGCACCGCCCGTCAAGGGGTCCCAGCGCGTAACGTCTGTATCGTAGCATCGGACTCGGAGGCTGGAAACGGACGGGACGTGTTAGCATGGCTCAAAATGTGACGTACAACGCCAGGGACGTGAACTGACGGGACAAGGTCGGAAACCTTCAGCTTCTTCTCCGCAATCAGTGTCGCGGCAGCGCGGTCGGATAATTTCATGATGCGCCGCTTCTTCTCGCACACCCAGGTGGCGGCGTACTGCGGCAGTGCATCACACGCCATGTCGTCGACTGGCAGGTTCCGGTGCAGAGACTCAACGGCGCTGTCGACGCCCGTCTCGACACGCATCCTCGAGGATACATGTTGGGCGGCGCGCTTGGCTTCGTCCAGCAGGCAGTACCGCAGGGCCTCGACCAGAAGATCGGCGCTGAGTTTCTTGTGTGGGATCGGCTTGGACCCAGCGCCGACGGACGCTACTATTCCACCCCAGAAGGGCTGGCTGGAGGCCAAGCGTCGTCAGAAGGGCTTTGAATGCAGTTCGGGACAGTTTCAGGAGACTCACTCTCCGAAGAACGGTACGATGATAGTCGGTCGGGCGTTGACCAGGCCACATGCGGTAGTGCCGGCGCCGCCGTGGTGCACGACGACCGATACACGCTTGAAGAGCCATTCTGACGCGCGTGTTAGTTTCTGCATCTTTGCATGACAAGCAAGATCCTGTCCTCACCGTGTGGGCAATCGCCAAGATAGAACACTTTGTCTGTGTTTGGGCTGTCGCCGCCAAGCTTGCTCCAGCCCCTCGAGATGATGACGCGGACCCTGCATCTCTCGGCTGCCTCCAGGATGATATCGGTCAGCCGTTTGGGGTCATCGATGACGATGCTTCCAAATCCGATGTAGACCGGAGGGGGCCCGGCTCGTAGAAATCGGTCGAGATCGGGGGGAGGGGTGTATGACGGTTCGGCGCGCATAAAGAATCCGCAGACATCTATACGGCCGTGGCCGGGTCAGGTCACGGCATCAAGGTCATTCGTTCGGGGAGCATACCTATCTCCGGGCCCCAGTCTGCAGGCTTGGGCATGATGGCAGGCGACCAGCAGTATGTGTGAGGGACTTTGAGATGCGTCGTGATCCCTGGGCCCATGCTCGCCGGGCTGTTCTCGAGACCAAGGCTCTTCCGACGCCAGTCATTAATCACGTCCCCTAAACTACAATCGTCATCGTTAGAAATCGACGTCAAAAGTCGGGCACGCCGTGTGAGAATACCTACCCCTGCCACGTCATCGTCTCAACCACACCGTACGAAAGCCAATTCGCCGTCGAAGAATTCGTGTTGTTGCTCTGGAAATTAGCCAGGGGATGCGGGAAAGCCTTCGTGGCCGTCCAGGGCATCGTGAACATGATATGCACCGGGACGCCGAGGGCTTGTGCGCAGTGGACGTGAGCGAAACTCGGCGGGTTCGCAACGATGGCATCAGCAACGAACGGCTCGTTTGTCACGGGATCGGGATGGTAGCATGCCTCCCAGCAGCCATCTAGCATCTCCTTGATCATTCGACGCTTCCGCCCGATATCCCCACCCCGAAGCGATTCCAGGGACGGGATGAGGCCGGGGTTGCGAACCATGTACTGTCCGGGTCAGAACGGCTGATGCTACCAGGTGACGTGTCGCGAGGTCGCACTCACGGACATCAAGTCGGCCGGGTCGCCGCCGATGGGGTAGAACTCCAGACCCGACTCCCGCACGAAGTCGGCGAAGTTATTATGCGTCGCGAGACGCACGCGATGGCCGTACCGTCGCAGGGCCGTGCCGTACGCAATGAAGGGCTGGACGTCGCCTGCGTGTTGCTCATGTCAGCTGATGATATTTCCACAAAACGCACGCTCCCGAATGAGGTCTCGCCAAGGGCGACGATGACCTACCTCGACTTCCGACCACGTGTATGACCAGATTCAGACGTGGACATGCCCGTCGTGGCTTGAACGAAGATGCACCCAGGCCTTCATGCGCGGGCAGCGGCGCAGGGGGGGTCGATGGCAGGAGTCTGGCGAGGTGAGCTGGGTCCCTCGATGAGAACGAGATGTTGACTCTCCCATCATCTGCATGACGGTTAGTCGATGGATCCGGAATATTACCCCTAGAGATGAATGCATACCTGATATGGCTGTTGAAGTGTCGAGAAACTCCCCGGTGGAATGCAGCTCATAAGGCGGAGGGAGATCGTAGGGATATCTGCCATCGTCCTCCGACTCCGGCTTCAATGCAGGCTTCGAAAGATGTGACATGTTGACTCGTCGAACTTTCAACCGACGGTGACGGTTGTTACAAGACGGACAACCGTGCTCCTTATAACAGGGACGAGGCTTTCCAGACGGCAAAGATATTTCACGAGACGACACGTCATGTCTCCGGATCCGAGGCCCAAGGCTCAGGTCACTAGCAGCATTCAGACAAGCCGGTGCATATGGACCACCATCTCGTCGTAAAGACACGAGCATATCCGACGGCCGGCAAGGCTTTCGGATTAGCGTGGCTTTTCAGTTTCGTCCGTTGGACGCTTGGATGAGTCGTTAGCTGGGGATTGAGACGCCATTCTGCCTTGCGGCTTGGCCGACTGTGGAGCAGCTCAGCTCGGTCAAGTCGCAATCCGAAGGACCTCGGGTTCGTATTTTAATACCTGACGTCGGCACCATCAGTGACGACGGAGCGTACTATTCATCGCCTGGCCGCTCGAATCCTTTGACGCCTCCCACCCCCAAAGGCCATCCAATACCCCGTCCTCATGAAACAGCGCAAGAAGCACACCAAGTCCCGTACCGGATGCTCCGAATGCAAGCGTCGCAAGGTCAAGGTATGCTTTGGTGAGGTCGTCGCTGAGACACGGAGGGAGACTCGCAGGATGCACCCCCACGACCCCGGGCTGACAGTGTCCCCTTCCAGTGCGATGAACTACGTCCGAGGTGCGCCAACTGCCGCCGGCAAGGATCGAGCTGCAGTTACAGTCGGTCGGATTCCTCACAGCAGACACCAGGCGCCACGCCCAGCCTAGCAGGGGCAGCTGAGCGCAAACCCTGGGAGGCCCTGATACCGCAACTGAGCCGGTGCCACACACCTGGGGGTAATTCACCGTCATGGGTAGATCAGAGCCCATTCTCACGCGACGCCGAGCTCGCTCACCACTGGAGCACCGTCACGGCCGACGCCATGGCGACCGACCCCGACATGCGGCACATGTGGCGCGTCGTCATCCCGCGGATCGGCTATGAGAACTGCTTCGTCATGCACGGGGTGCTCGCCATATCGGCGCTGCATAAAGCGTACCTCATGCCCGGCCTGGCCGAGACGTACCTGAATGTCTCTGCCCACCACCAGGTCCGGGGCTCCGAGGGCTTCCGTGCCTTGCTCGGCAACGTCACGCAAGATAACTGGCGGCCGGTCTTCTGTTTCTCGGGCACGTTTGTCGCATATATGATGTGTCTTCCCATTCGCTCTCCGAATGGAACCATCCAGTCGCCGGTCGTCAGCCTGCTCGATCTCGTGGCCGCGATGATGGGCGTCCAAGCCTCCATCAAGCCCTTTCTTCCTGTATTCATGTCATCAGAGTTTTCCCCCACCGTCCGAAACTTTGGTGAAATTGTCGACGCCGACTCGACGAGGTATGTTCGCGCCTCGCATCACGGACTTTCTGGTCACGTCTCTAACGCTCTCGAAGAGAATCGAATCCGGACCTGGAACATTCCCTGCTCCCGCACGATACTTTCAACGCGCTGTTCACTTTGCGTTTATTCTTCGAGGCCGAACTACCTGCAGGAGAACAGGATCCCTATCTCAACGCCGTCGACAAGCTCGAGGCGGTCGCGAGAGTCCTCGGGCGCGCCGGCCTACACGCGGATCCTGGGGTTGTATTCTTCTGGGCGACGAACCTGGACCAGGTCATCATCTCCGACTCGCGAGCATTCCAACACCATGCTCTGATGCTGTGGGCCCATTTCGCAGTATTCCTGGCAGGATTCGAGCGGAGCTTCTGGTACCTGCGGCGATGGGCCAAGAGCATAGTCGGAGATGTTGCCCAGAGGGTTTCGGAAACGCCCAGGGCGGCTCAGGTCCTGCAATGGCCCGAGAAGAAGGTGTGGGAGCGTGCTCTTTGATGATGGACAGTGTGCTATTCTTGGTGCTGGACGCCTTGCGGCGGAGTCGGGACTTGGCCCAGGGCTGACTTGGGACTTCAGGCGTTGGATGCGGATTCGGTAGGGTGTAGAAGCATGATTTGGGATTATCCTATATGGAAATGCCGTCGCAAAGCTGGTCCCTTGTCTATCTTGTTCCGTCCACCCATCTATGATCCGGGCCCAGGGGCTGTCACTGGCGCTGGCCGTACCGCGGGTACATCCCCTTGCGGTTGAGGTATCCATCTTCTTGCATTTCCCCTACATCTCAGAGCGGATCGAAAGTTGATGCCAAATCTTTCTCGTCCATTTAAATTTTACCCTAGGTATCGAAGTTTTACACGCTGCAACACACGGTTCGTGCCTCGGTCGCAGTGTCTGACTCGCCGTCCCTGTATCGCCAGCGTCTGATACATGGCATCACGCAAGGCCGACTCGGACCCAAACGAAACCGAGCAACGTATCCGAGGTGCAAGGGTTTTCGACCAATGGGAGAAATAGTTCGTCGTACCTCGTCGGATAGAACTGAGCTACTTCACTAGTCTTGCACCCGGCTCAGTCAAGAGATCGCTGGTGGAACTCGAGCGGGAGCTCCCGACTAGGCGATGACCGCAATTACAGAACAGCGAGAGACCGCACAGCAAGGGTTCGCCGAGACCAGGATGCGCAGTTCAAAGGACGCAAATTATCATCCCTCTTGTCATGATCTGTTCGAGTAGGATCCGGGCGCATGATTCTAGATCTAGTGAAGCAGGGGACGGTGGGGACTGGGGAATGACCGAGCAACGCACGTTGTGTGCAGGTACTTATATCAGGGGCTTGCGGTCTTTCTTGGGACTTGCCTTAATCATCTTCCAGTTTTGTATCGACCTTACGAGCTCCCAATCCCTTTCACTTTGACCAAATCCCAGAAGCCAAGACACTCGCTACCGCAAGAGCGTTACTTTCACATCTCGGCGTCAACCGCTACACATTATCTGGCGCCAAGCCGTATTCGAAGAGCACGAAGCGCCATCACACATACACTCATCAAATCATGCTCGGACTAGAGATAGAGGCAAGAGCCTCCGGTGCGGAGGCAGAGCCAGTCTTCCATCTCTACCATTACAATCCGTCCATGGCCGGGGCCATCATCTTCACACTGCTCTTCTTCGGCACCACCACCGCCCACTTCTATCAACTCTTCCGCGGCCGGACCTGGTTCATGATCCCGCTCGCCATTGGAGGCATTCGTACGTCACCACCGCGCGCCTAGTACCAGACCTGATCAAGTACGGGATCGCTGACTCTCCTTGCCTCCAGTCGAGTTCATCGGCTACGCAGCACGTGCTCGCTCTAGCCAGGAGTCACCGGACTGGACTCTGGGCCCGTACATTGTCCAGGCCCTCCTCATCCTCATCGCTCCAGCCCTGTTCGCCGCAACCATCTACATGCAGCTGGGTCGTATCGTGACGCTTGTCCATGGCGAGGGTTATACACTCATTCGAAAGACCTGGATGACGAAGATCTTTGTCTGTGGAGATATCCTGCCGTTCATGGTGCAGAGTGCAGGTTCGTGGCTGGAAATTATTGTCTCTTCCGTGTACATGACTAACATTCTGCTTCAACAGGTGGTGGTTTGCAGGCCACTGGTGGCGCGTCTAGTCTGGAGATGGGTGCCAATATCACCGTTGCCGGCCTCTTCATCCAACTGCTATTCTTCGGGATTTTCATCGTCGTTGCCGTTTCGTTCCACCTGAAGGTTCGTCGCTATCCCACGGTGGTCACCCGGGGCACCACGCCCTGGGAGAGACACATGATGGCTCTCTTCTTGAGCAGCTTGCTCATCATGGTTCGCTCCATCTTCAGGGTGGTTGAATACCTACAGGGGTTCGACGGCTACCTACTTAGCCACGAAGCGTACCTGTATGTGTTTGATGCGTTGCTGATGTGGCTGGCCATGATCTTGTTCAACTGGTTACATCCGGCCGAGATCCTTTCGGTCAGGGTGGGAAACCCTTCAAAGGCGACGAGGGATAGGTATGCCATGGGACCTGTTTCGCCGAGTCACCGACGCTTAAGGTCTGACGTAGTCTGAACAATGCCTTCGCATTAGTTGTATCATGGTGCGACTCATCTCTTACGATAGGTCGAGTTTCCAACGCCTTTGGCCTTTAGAATTCGGGATGTTTGTGCCTTTCACAGTTGGATAGAACAATACTATCCAGTGGGCCCCTTTGAGCAGGGATTTGGCTCCCTCCCGCTATTTCCGCGTCTTGATGCACGCAAACTCTCTTGTGTCTCTTCTAATCCGCTCTCTGGTGATCTTTTCCGCAGTATCCTACCGCCCTACACCGACCGCACTTTTTGATCTGTTCCCTCGTTCCACATACCGCACAACATGTGCCTCCTACCTCCGCCTCGCGCCCTGCTCTAGCCTCAAACATCTCTTCTTGAATGGCTTGCCGCGTCTCGATTTCGCATTCGACCCTCCCACACACGCCACTGACGATAACCGCTACATGGGGATCGCCAACTTTGTGGAGGTAGGACGTTGGCGTCTGCAGCACGGTTGTGATAGGCGATCCGCGGCTGACGCAGAATGGATTAGACGCTGCGCGACAAGCGGCCTCGTGCTCCTTCATGAAAAGCAGCACCGCACGTTGAAAACCTTCGGCGAAAGAAGATTGTTCTTGGACTTTGGATAGGGGCATGATCAGGGACTCTGGGACCGGATGGTTGAAATTGAGCCCCTGGATCACATTGTCGCAGATGAATTGGAACTGGACTGTGCGTGTCGCTATCACGGCGAGGGAAAGTCTATAGCGTCTGTAATTTTGGCTACCGTCAGACAAACTGAACCCGACTGTTCTGATCGGTAGCTTTATGCTGAAATCACGGTTTAGCGAGGGGTAAATACGATTAAGGTTTTTGGGATGTTTCATGAGGACCGGGCCCTGACATTCCAGTGACATGGCGCACAGTGGAACTTGGGACGACGCACGAAGTTAGACTCCCGGTCGGATAACCTCGCCGATTTCTATTTATCAGATTGAAATCATAATTCATATTAAATTTCGTTCCTCAAGGCTCCTTCTGGGCAGCCCGCTTGCGGGCTGCGTCTCCTGTTCACCTCTGAGCGCGTCGGCTGCCGGCTAAAACCCCGCTTACCGGGCATAGCTGCTGAGTAAGATAGCGGCTACATGCGCTATTCTGGGCGTAAACCCCTATTGCCTTCGTCCTTTACTCGTCATCCTCCACCCCTCCCTTCCGCTCTTGAGTCTTCTTCCGACCGGTCTCGCAACTCTGCCGCCTCAACCGTCTTGTTGTTCAACTGCTGCAGCCTCAATTCGGCCAGAGCCATTTCCGGTGGCACGATGTTCCCCACCAGGTCACGTTCTCGGGCCCTCGACAGTAGCATGATGCCATCCAGCGACCTGCACCGCGACAGCTGCACATACAGGCTGTATGGGTCACACGTGCTCGGAATCGCCTGGCTGCCGACATGGGTTGTCCTCGTTCCTCGCAGTTCGACGGCTACCCGATCTAGCGTCCTCCCCTGCACCTTGTAGTCGGTGCACGCAAACGCCGGTGCGCACGGTAGGCCCCTGCGGGAGGCGTCGTGCTGCTGCCAGGGCCGCTTTCTCTGGCAGTCTATCTTGGTGCTCAAGGGCGTCAGGAGCACGGTGCCGGGCGGCAGACCGACGAAGCGAAACTCCCTCGTCGTCTCTGAAGCGAGCAGGATGCCCGCCGGCGGGCCCAGGTGCAGCACGGCGTCGGCGTCGACCCTGTGGCCCGGGTATGCCCTATCGGGGATGACGTCTACCGCCGTATAGGTGGCCCCGTTGACCAGCTTCAGTCCTTGGTGGGTGTTCTGATTCACGACAACGGGCATGCCGGGGACGAAGAGGAAGACGGCAGGCGCCGGGATGGCACTATCGTCCCCTTGGCCCAGCATCATGAGGGCCTCCTCCTCTGTCGGCTCGCCGTCTTTCCACTTGTGTTCCGAGATGAAGATCTGGAGTGGCGCCTGCCGCTGCCTCTGGTGGAAAGCGATCGTCGCCTCGATGTTCAGGTTCCACCGGTTTCTGTTCAGCGGCGTCACCACGGTGATGCCCGACTCCCATGGGATCCGCCGGCCTTCCTGGTAGCCACTGTTGTTCAGTAACTCCACGTCCGACTGGTCCTGCACTCCTCGTCGAATGCGCGTCAGCAGCCCGCGCAGTCGTGGATCGTGCGCGGCGCGCACTTGTTCATCCAAGATCACCACCGCTGTGAACTTCCTCCACAGCGCGTGGGCCACGTCGTGTTGCCGCCTCTGTTCCAGGCCGAAGCTCTGGTCTCCCTCCCACGGGATGGCCGAGCTCGGGAGGAGAATCGACCTCTCTTGCACGGGGCGAAACTGGTGGAAGTCACCGCAAAAGACGACCACCGGGATGCCGCCAAAGTCCCTTCTGGACTCCCGGAGCCTGCAGAGCTGTTCGTTGACGGCGTAGAGCGTCCGCGCACCTAGCATGCTGACCTCGTCTATGATCAGGACGTACTTCTCCTGCCAATCCATCTTGGTCCTGCCGTCGATGCGCAGAACTGCCGAGCCGGACGACGTGAAGCCGTCCGGGTCCCCTGCGCGGCCTGATCTCGTGGACATGTCCTTGGAAAACTTGCAAGCGGAATGGATGGTGATTCCGTTGATGTTCGCGGCCGCCGTGCCGGACGTCGCCGTCACTAGGAGGCGATGGTTCTGCGCTGCTCGGGCGAACAGCTCGGCGACGGCAGCGATGACCCGCGACTTTCCAGTGCCGCCTTCCCCCCCGACGAACAGGCACAGCTGGGGAGTTCCGCTCTCGTCGCGACGAACCAGGTCAAGCTGGCGGCAGACCAGCTCGAGAGCGATGCTCTGTCTTCGATTCAGCGTCAGCGACTCGGCTACCTGCCTCCCGACCTCCCGGAAGGAGGTGGACGTCCCGCACATGACGTCCGTCGACGGGCCCGTGGCAAGCACAGCCGTTTCGTGAACGGCCGCGGCGGCGAGGTCGTCCTGCTCCTCGAAACCATTGCGGGGCGCGACTCCGCTGCCGGCCGTGGCATCGTCCGAACGGCTCTGCATTCCCTGGATGGCCCTCTCCCGTTCGCGGGAGAGGGCTGTCTGCTGCGACTTGATGGATCTCAGCTGCTCCTGCCGTGCTGTTCCCTCTCCCGGCACGGCCCCTCCTAGGATGCTCCTCCCAGAGTCCGGGATGACCGCGGCATCGAGATCGTCCGCGGAGCCTAGAGCGGTCTCCTGGAATCGATGCATTTGCCGGACTAGTGTGGAGATCTCTTTGGAACCGGTCGTGATCTCTTTCCCCGACATCGCATTCCTTAATACATCTATCAGCCGCGTCGCCGTCCCGACGCCGTCTGCACGGTACCCCGCGCCCGCCGCATCATCAGCTTCTGCGCTACCCGACTCACCCGCGTCAGCAACGCGGTCGGGCTCGCCGGACAGGGCCGCCCACTGTCTGTTATCCTGCGCCACATCCTCGGCCGAGCGCCGCAGCAGCTGGATGTTGACCGCTAGCCACGCGATGCGCTTGGGAAGACCTGCCTTATGCCTCTCCCAAATGTCGTTCGCGTCGCCGGATGTCTCGCACAGGAAGGCCTGCCACGGAACGAAGAGGCCTAGGTGCTGCACTGCTGCTCTGAAGCAGGCACCGCTCCTTGTCAGCTCTCGACCCTCACCGCCGGTCTTTTCTCACTACTTGCATTCCTCCAGTCCTCATCTGTCCACTCCGCCGCGGCTGCTGTGTGGGGGGGTCTCACGTACCTCCTGTGATAAGAGTCATCCTCCTCGGTGAAATCCATGCTGAGATAGCCGTCGAAGCAAACGGTCGCTTGCTGTCCCGGCCGCCGCAGCGTCTGCACCCAAGCCTGAGAAGCCGGCCAGGCGCGGTCCAGCTCCACCTCTCCCCAAGCGACCGCTTGCCCTTTCCGCTTCAGCTTGACTAGAGACATGTAATCGTAAAGGGATCGGCCTTCGAGAGGCCTGCCACGGTGCGGGTATGCCTGTAACAAGGATATCCGCTGCCCAGCCTCTCCCAGGAGAACCGTCTCTTCGGCCAGCTCACCGATGTCCTCTCCGCCGGCCGCACGCCGCAAGAGTGGCCAACGCCGGGATATGTGCCAGTACAGGGTGCACACGTTCAGAAACGTCCAGACGTTGCTGCTTGTAAACTCTGTGCCACACCCCTGCAAATAGGCCACCACCTCGACCTGCGACAACGCCCGCTCCGTGAAGATCCTGTTGGCGACGCGCAGGAGAAATTGCCGTGTCCGGTTTCCCCGCCCGTCATTCCCGGTCAAATGCGACCCGTCGTTCGGCTGGTCTGCCGCCGCCGCCGTCGTCGTCGTCGTCGTCGTCACATCACCAAGCACCCGAATTAGCTCCTTGGCTGCCACCACACGTTTCCACACAGGATCCTCTACCTTGGTAGCGTAGTTGGTCAGGTAGTAGACGAGTGACAGGCCCTTGCATTTCGTCACGATGAAGGAAATGTCGTGGTTGTGTCGCAAGCCTACCGCTATCGCCTTGTTCCAGCGATTCACCAGGCTGTGACCACGACGGATCCGCAGCAATCCGTCCTCCGTGAACGACGTCTTCTCCACCAGTCGCCAAGGAGCCCCGAACCGGCAGGGGTTCTGCTTCTCTCGTCTACCGATGGAGTATTTAACACACGTAGGACTATGCGTGTGAACCTGGGTGGCGCCGGCGCAGAAGTTTGCTTCCTCCTCGAACGATGCGCTCAACTGAGCCGTGTTACTCACCAGCGTCGAAATCTCCGCCGCCACTGGCCTGCTAGCTCGCATTCCCGCCGATGCTCCTTCATCGAGGTCCTGCCGGGCACACTGTCAGCACGTACGTGACTAGCCGGATCTCGCCGCGGCCACCACCAGATAGACGAACCTCCGCAAAAACACTGTCTACATACTCGATCACGCGGTCCCGGTACGCGGTCTGGCCCTCCCCCTGAACGTCCCGCGGCAGGGAGCTCAGTTGCATGTTTCCCTGGAGCCAGAGGAGGCCGTGGAGGTGTAGCGCTCCCCTCTCGTTCGTCTCGACTGCCCCGTAGTACTGGCCGACGCGGCCAAACACCGAATCCTTCCCGACCCGCACGTAGTGCTCGAAGAACATGGAAATCTCCCGGTGGAAGAATATGACCGAGCTAAGGGGATCCGATATCGCGAGCCGCGCTCTCTTGTATACGAGATCGAGGCTTCTCAAGAACTCCTCGGCTTCGTCTGTCTCGCGGGTGCGATGTGCGGCGAGCTTGAGTTTGATCGGGTTCGTGATATCATTGGGGTTGAGCGTGAACCATATCGCGGGAATGCCGTGACGGATTATAAGCGACTTCATCTTCCGTCGCATGGTCAGCCGACTCTCCCTCGACATAGGCTGCCGGTACCCGTACAGAGTCAGGCTTCTCAGCAGTCGATTGACGTCGGGCTCCGTGCTCTTGCCGAAGGCCTCTAATTCGACCTTTGCCCTTTCCAGTTTCGCCGCTGTCAGCGATCGGATGGTGCGCTCCACCTCTGGGAAATCGCTCTTCCTCACGCTGGCCATGCTCACCCGGCGGTTTCTGGACCGCACCCCCATGTTGAAAACGAGAAAGGGCAAGACGGGGGTGTGACGCAAAACGGCCGCCGTGACGCGCAGTACTAGCTTGGCCCAAGCTCCAGGGTCATGTTCCGAGTCGCCACGAGGCGCTGCGCAGCGGTTGCCGCGTTGACGGGTCCCGCCGCCTCTCCTTCCGTGCTCACGACGTGTTCTTCCGCCTGTCGAGGACCGCCCTTACCTAACGGGAACAGAGTAGGGAATGCCTTGGCCAAGAACCAGGCGTCGAAGGAGTCGGCGAAGTCTTGGCCCCGGGAAACAACAATATACGGCTCAGCGGCTCGCCCGTACCGCACCGCAGTTGATCCGCCTGGAGGTCCGTCAGCCTGTTTCGTGGACGCAGCGTCGCCGGTGGACTCCACGAGGTACCGCAATTCTCCACATCAGTGATGTCCGGCCAGGCGTCCAGGCCGAACATGCCGGACGCTGCGATCTCATCTACCCGATCGCGGCCGACGCTGCTTCTGTCTGCCTCTTCTTCCACTCTGGCGACAAGGTTTTCGTCCGCGTCCCCGGAGCCGCCGCCTGGATTATCACCCAGCGAGGCCATGATTTCCTGGATGTCCACGGGGCCCGAGTCATCAAGCCCGCGCTCAGTCGGCGGGACGACATGCGCCGTTTGTGTTTTCTCCCTTGCCGAAGGCTCGTTCCGTTCCAGCCGTTTGTAAATCTGGAAAGGGACACCATGCGCCGGCGCCTCCCAGCTCTGATGCACATAGGGCGTTGCACGTGTACCGCCCACCGGCCGTGGCCTCTGAAGACAAAGATGAAGTCCGGCGATGCCTCATGGGGATCATGCAGGTTGGGAAAGATGTTCAGTTCGGCGAACTGCACAAGCGCCTACGCAAAGCAGACCTTCATCATCTAATCGAGTTCAAGGGGCAAGGACGGAGCCGCCCAGACTCTGTGTTGAGCCGCCAAACTCGACAGGAGCTTGGACTTAGCCTCCGGACATATCAACGATACAAGTTGGACGGCAAATATTGGAGTGTCATTCGAGGACCCCCTGAAGGACCTCTTGATGGACTCTTCTGCCTCATCCCTTTCAGCCAGGAAGAACCTCTCAAAGTCCAGGCGAAGGACTACCTCGAACTTGATCCAAAGGAGCTGCTGAGTTTGCATTCGCTGCTGAGCGATGACTACATGGCAAAGCATATGCGTTCCTGCTCGTAAGTTTGAGAAGTCATTACAGCTTGGCTCACAGCCAATTGAGTTCAAATGGGAATCGACGGGCATCTGCCTGCAGACTTGCGACGAGATTGAAATGCTATGCCAACTGCAGCCTTTGCCCTTTACAGATACCAACATCTGGGATCAGAACAGGTTCCTCGAAGCACCGAAGCCTACAGCCTGGCCCACAGACAGACCATGGCCTGCTGATCCAACGACGATACAAGCCGATGAAAAACAGTGCGATTACTGCGATGCTGACAAGTGTTTATGCTTGAGTACTATCTTCGAGGTAGTGCCTCGAATCAAGAGGTACGGGGCGGTTCGAGGGCTTCAGGCGGTTGCTCTTAACGCCGGAGCTGTGACTTATGAAAAGGGGAGCTTCATCGGCGTGGTTGCTGGCGACCTCTACCCTCTTGGCATGTATGAAGACGAGCACCGGACTTTTGACTTCGAGAGGCCAGATTTGGAGGATCAGCCTGCTGAGTGCCAACTTCGTATGACAGAGGTCGGAAACTGCTTCAGACTTCTAGGAACCGCGGAAGACCCATCAGCCCTGCTTGTACAAAAAAGAAGAGGCGGACAATGGGTAATGGTAGTTGAGGCTAAGCGGAGCATCATGGATGACGACCAGATTAGTCTTCGCTGTTGTCCAGAGGCGACCAGGCCGCGGTGCACGGGCCATAGGCGCCATGGTGGCGCCTGTGGCCCGTGCATGGCTGTTTCCAGTGCAAGTGCGTTCCTGAGTGTAAGAAGCACGGAAGGGAGGCTTGTTGGGAGGCATAGACAGACATCTTGAGGGAACTATTCTGATCAAGGCTTTGCATATATTAGCTTCTCTAGATTTTGTATAGTGTACATAACGGCTGCTAATAGTACATACTTCGAATAGGAACGAGCCTCTCCAGCCAACGGACGGACCCATCTACTCGGATGAGATGTGCAACATTCTGTAATTCCGGATGCGTCTGGTGTACCGCATCGATTACAACTTGATGTTCGGGAGGTCACTGGAGTGTTTTTTAATGTACATCGTAGGGGGCGGAAATGATTTGATTCCGACTTGGGGCTACAAACGATTCGTCTCTCAACTTGTCGAGCTGCCCGTGAGAGGCTGGATTCAAAGGTCACCCCTGACCGCTCTAGTGCATGCTATCTCTCGACCAGCCTCCCAGGGCCGAGTTTTGGGCAGAAAGGTTGCGTACATTATGGCACGCTCGCCCACTCCCCTTCAGCGTCATTCTCTTTTTCAGCGTCATGGTTTTAGTTCCATTCTTTGCTTTAACTTGTTTGGACAAAACGCAGCCTCCTTATTGGGTCAATGATGATGATGCATTGGGTTCCTCGGATCCTTGCGTCATGTCCCTTTCTCTTTCGCCTAGCTCATTCCCATGTTGTTATCACAGTAGCGGGTTGCGAAACCTTGGAGCAATCTTCAAAATCTTCAACACAAACGGAGATGTCCTCCATATCTATCATCTACTCCACACCAACCTCTAACTATGAAACTTCCGGCGAGGCGGTCAACAGCTCGCCCTCGTCTTCCCCGGTATACATCACTCGTCATACCGCATCAGAGCATGTCGCCCCCTCTCCCAGCCATTCGGACATAGCATCGTCTGTCGAATCTTTGCTAATACGGTCCTCACTCCTGGAGAGCTCGTTTCTGGTTTCTGTACCAATGGCGCCCACAACTACATCTAGGTCGTCTAGTGGCTCGGAAGACGATCGATTTGCAACAGAAGTTTGGGATTGCTGGATCCAGCAAGGTGACCGTACCAAGGCTCTCTGATTCAGCTGACCTATGAAGTGTCGAGCTTTCAGGATGGGAAGAATGCGTTTGCCGACCAGGTGAATGCCGAAGCGGCTCCCGCGTACAAGTTCTTCCACGTCCTGATTCTGTATGTGATGTGCAGTGCAAAGGATGCCAGACAGAGAGCGGTAAGAAGGGCTGCTGAGTTAAATTGGTGTGCTGGGGCTTACTGTTAAAGTACCTCTCGAGTGCTTTGCGATGCCTTGGCTAGAGGTCCAAGTTTTAGGGCCGACCTCGTGCCTTTCCACCTTCCACAACCGCTCGTCAGCCGCCTGCCCTTTCCGAAACCTCCGAAACTCCCGAAACCTCCGAAACCTCAGTGGCTAGCCTCAAGAGAGGCGCTGGAACCAAGCGTACAGCGGGCTCAAAACGAACGATCACGGCATACGAGAAAGTTTTGTCGGGCGAACTTCAGGATGGAGGCTTGAGCCGCAACGCGCGAACCGAGAATTAGATCGAGGAAGCCTCGTAAGGAAGATGGCAGCAGATGGTGCAGCTCGTCCGAGCCGGACTGAAAAGGACAGAAAAGGATGTGAATGTCAAACAGAGGATCTTGGGCCATGATTCATCGTAAGCAAGGCGGTGCAGGCCGCTCTGCGCGGCCTTACTCTATCAAGAACTAGTGCACCTGGATACTAGACACTGACACACGCTCGAAGTCCTACCAATACTTCCATCAGGACTGGACGCCCTGTGCGAGCGAATGATGGGACACATCGGGCAATCGAGGGATGCTAAGCTGTGCACAACAATCCTGGCTGTTGTTTCGGTCTTATATCGTTCCATCTCATGGGAGGAGCTGACATCTATCATCCAGCTGCCCGTCCACTGGACTGACGACTCTGCTGCCTTGGAGACACTTCTCAGCGCTTGCCGCTCTTTTCTAGCCTCCGGGAGGGGTTGGTCTACTCTGTGCACCAATTGGCAAGGACTTCTTACTGGACAAAGCATTCGACCAGGCCTTCTTACCTTTCGACATTGTGCATCAACACCGTTCTATCTTTGTTGCCTCCGTCAAGGTTTTTCCAGGGCTGCGGCATGATATCTCCCGTCTAGCTAAACTAGGCTTCACCATCGAAGACATGACCCCACCAGCCACAAACCCGCTGGTCACTGCACAGTATTCGTGCACTCGCTGTACTCGCTAAGTAGACGATCTCAATGATGCGAACCCCGCAGGGAAGCTTCCGGAAGTGTATCTCCAGGACGGCAAACTTGTTCAAACTATCCTCCAGCGGAAGTATCTCTGTTGGTTAGAGGCTTTAGGTTGCAAGCTGTAACAGCAATACAGAGGCTTAAACTTTGATGGTAGGTCGCATTGCTTCCTTCGAGGCCTTGTCTTACGCTTGTAGCAGATAAGATATGAACTTAATCTAGTCGTGACGAAATAAAAGAGGCTTCGAAATATAGACAAGGGGGCTCAACTCGTGCTTAATGTCTCGAAGCGCGGAATAGTGGGTGTCTTGGACACATCAGGTCCGCAACTTCGAGCTGGGCAGTGCTCGATACTGGGGAACAACAGGCGCTAGAGGTATAATCTATGATGCTCTCACACATCTTCGTTTTATGATCAACATTTTCTTAATAGAAGGAGCTGAGAAATGCCAGCACCTAGGTCTTTGTCGAATATCTGCACAGGTCTTGCCATGCATGCAGCTGCAGCTTTTATGGGGACAAAATCGTGAAACCGAGGAAGAACTCCCGTTGAAGTAGTCCTACGTGATTGCAACTACACTGACGTCAATTCAAAGAGCTGTATCTGCTAACCATTCCAAAGCGAAGCATCTCGCGCCGTGCGCTTATGGTGTTGGCCCGCAGGTACGGCCGAATATGTTGACCTGAATGGTGCCAACGCAGATCCCTGATCAATGAGATGGGGGGCTGGTAGGCGCTGTTGGTATCGAATACGAGAAGGCAGGACTTGCTGTCCTTTGCAGTGCGCATTTCCCACGTGTCTCCCTCCAGGGCCGTCTTGAACTCAAATCCGCGGGAACTATATTTCTGAACGGCGGCTTCTGCCTTCTCTCGGATACTTTCAGGGACTTGCCATTGGTATGCTGTCTTCTCTAGTGCCAGTTTGTAGTGCATGTGAAAAGCAGCATGCTTTGTCAAGAAGCACTGAACGTGGCTGCCATAGAAGGAGAATATGCTTCTGAAAACCGTCTGGAGGAGCGGCTCGGAGATCATAATTCCTCGAGGATCCATGAACCCTATCACCAACTGAACGGAAACCGTCTTGTTGTTCTTACAGGCGCTCCCGCATAATACCTTTGTTGCGATATTGTTGGGATAAGAATGGAATCTTTGTTGCTCAGGCATAGGAAAGGATGTAGAGCCGCCGTCGTCGATTCGAATAGGAACGACGGTCTCCAACCAACGGACGGAGCCGTCTGCTCGGATGAGAGGAGCCATATCCTGTAATTCTGGATATACCTTGTGTACCGCGGCTACTATACATCGAGGCCCGGGAGGCCACTGGCATGTTTCTAAGTATGCCTCATAAGCGGTGGAAATGACTTGATTCCGGCTTAGAGTCACGAAAGACTCGTCCCTCAACTTGCGAGCTGCCCGTGCGAGGCTGGATTCAGAGGTCACGCCTGACCGCTCCAAAGCATTTTTGACCGCCACAACCGAGGAGAGCACCGGAGGAACGTAGAAGTCCCAATCCGATGCATCCGTTGCCGATCCTGGGACAAAATACTCCAAGGCTCTGGATCCGGAGAGAACAGCACCATGCGTCGCCATTGTCTCTAGTAGCTCGTCGCTACCTGTGAAGGGGCCGACCCGCTGGAGGTATTCAGCAGGATCAATGCGTTGATCCAGAACTGGCAGCAAATCGTGTGTCGCGCGTTTCAAAGATATGACGTCGGTAACTGGCAACAGACTGGCTAGAAGCGTAATAAGCTCGTTGGGTAGCAGCTCGAACAGGCCGGTCGGTGTCGGCGCCGTTCTACGCGACGGGTGAGCAATCGTGAAGAATATGACGAAGCGAAGAGATACGCAGCGAGGAAAAGTTTATTCAGTGCTGGCATGCTCATTACATCGACCCAGTTTGGTCCCTGTTCTAGGCCTTGTTCTGGGTCTTATTCTGGGCCTCAAGTCCCGCTCCCAAGCCTCAATCTGGGTGGAGTGACCCGCCGACCTTCGCAAGGCCTAGTTCTGGTCATTGGGCTCGATCGCCGAAACTACACTACGCGAGAAATCATCGCGAGCTTGCCTCCCGCCGAGCGCTGGCGAATACCTGTCGCCCTCGTCCTCAAACGACAAACCTGCCGTGGGTGGGCTGATTGGGATCGGAATTGACATTGTGATATGGGCAGCCGACACATCGAGAGGAGAAATAATGGTCGCAGGCGAGGAGCTGCCGGCGTCGGACGCTGCATTGACGGTGACTTCGCTGATTTGGCGGAGATGACCAGTGTCGCGGTCGCTCATGCCGGAGACGACGGACAATATGCGATCCCTCATTCCGACGGCCGGGCCGGGAGCGTCAATGGGACTGACAACGCTACGGGTTGGGGAGTCGGCGAGGGAGCGGGGGCCAAGGACACCTGATGAACGGGAGGCGGACAAAACATCGTCCGAGACGGAGCTATAATAGTATGTCGGTTGGATGGACGTGGGGTAAGATGAGTTGCCGAAATGCGTGTGCTTGTCAATCACCTACATGGGAGTAAGGCCTGTATCAGAGAGCTCAAGAGGCCTTGAGATATCTCGGTGGTGGATGTTAGTCTGCTGATGCTAGTTGTGGGAGGGAGAGAAAGACCAGGTAGCTCTGCGATTGTGGTGTCCATCATTTCAGACTGTGATACGACAGGCAGAATTGGGACTGAAGGAGAGCTTGCTGCATGCCCCACCACTGTGTCAGCGTTGGAAGGCAACTCTTCTAACGTAGTGAGGGTGAGAGCTTTGTCTTCCGTTGGCTGGCCCCTGATCCAGGACAGAATGCGGGTGCCGTTATACTCGGTGCGAGCGCCCTGATAGCAAAGCTTTCGCCTGCGCCAGAGGCAGAAGCCTGCGAGAAACGCAACCAGGAAGACAAACCCGAGGACAGCACCAAGAGTTGGTCCGACCCATTTCGGCATGCCACCACCGTCACCAGAATCACCGCTGGCGTTCTTTCCATCGCCCCCAGGCTCAAAGGTCGGTTGGCTGGCCTCGGTCACTCTTTGATAGGGATACCAATTTTGGATTTTCGACGTCGAGTATGGGGTTGCGAAGACGTCGGCCAGTTTGTCGTCCGACCATCCTGACGGGCTCGGAGTCGTCAGGTACCCCCTCCTGCAACACTGCCGCCGATGACTTGCCTGACGGCCGTGGGAACACCGTAATCAGCGTACCTCTCCGGGTCATAGCCATCCATCCACTGGCTCCTCGTCAGGTTGTAGATCTGAATGAGACCGGTAAGGCATTCAAGGTTATCGCCAGCCTCGGAGGTCATTCCGCCAATGACCATCATCTGATCGGGATAGGGCATAAAACATTTATGCCCGTTCCGACCACGACCCGGCCTACCCTCACTGAGCCTGGTCCAGGTGAAGGAGGGAAGGGACTGGACCCAGACCTCGTCGTTCATCTCCACCTTGGGGTCCACGCCGGGATAGCCTCCATAGTAGTAAATGTTGAAGCTGGACCGGTCTTGGGCTGAAGCCACCACGGCACATGCTCGCGTGCGCGCCGTCGGGCCTCCGAAGTGGATTGTCTGTACTAGGTGCCATTGGCGATATCGTAAATTTCTATCGTGCTCATGAACTCGTCGTCTTCCTCTCTCTATGTAGCTGTCAGTGTCGCTTTCGAATGGAGGCTATAAAGACATACGCTTCGGTTTGGATTCTCCGACTTGCGGGTGCTTGTCAACCAGTCGGGGTAGGTGACCCCTCCGATAACCACCAGGATGCTCTGTTCACCCACGGGAACCCAGACCACCTCAGGGTTCGCCCGGCATTTTACCCCACCCGGGAAGGTATTGTTCGTCCACACAAGGTTCGTCTGGGTCGCCATGTCCAGAGTGAGAAGGGTATTCGAGGTGTTGAGAGCATTCTCGGTGAGGTTCATATTTCGTTGGAACACGGGCCCCCAGTTTGGTGCTCGAACTCCGCTGAAATACCATGCAATGTTCTCGGACGGTACGCTGACTGCTCCGCCGTAGGCAACGTACCGCGTCATACCAGCCGGAAGCGATGTGAGACGAAGCCTGGTTCGAACTGATCCCTTACGGGACCGTATTGGTAAGCTTGGTAGGTCAGAGCATCATCTGCGCGAGGGGGTTGAAAGGCATCCGTCTTCTTGACTAAGTTTCCGCACAGCGACAGTTGAGCGTCGTTGAAGAGCATGGCTCCATCATAATAGTTGGGTGCGTCGTTGTTGGCATTGCCAATACCACCGCGAGCTTTAGATATCGTCCGAAGAGCGCCGTCAAGTTGTCAGACAACTGGAATGGGCGGCTAAAGTTGAGAGGATACACGAGGCCAAGGGGGTTTCCTAGCAGGCCATTAGAGCAGCTCATCAGCGCAAGGAGGCCATCGACACAAGCAAGATGATAGAGAAATGCTGTCACCGACCTTGTTGTTCTGGGGCTCTATACTCTACATTCGAAAGCCCTTGACTCTCGTACAGACAGCCCCCGTCGACGTACACTGTGTCTCTGATAAAGGCACCTCTGCAGATGGTAAGAAACGAGCCACCGGAAGACTTAGTCCCTCCAACAGGACATACCTCTTGGTTGCGCCCCCTAGACACATCGAAACATTCACTTGACCCTCGATCCACCCCTCAAACTGGCCGAAAGTCAGTCCGGCAAAGGCCGCGAGGAAACACACGACCAGTACATAGGTCATGGTGGCGAGACGTCCAGTGTTGGGCCCAGGGTAGAAGTGACCGAAGAATCAGCGCAAGACCAGTCCAAGATCGGTGCACTGGCGAGGGTTCAATCTAAGCTACGTGCGCCGGATGCTGCGCAGGTGGTGGTTAGAAGCGCAGGTGGCCAATGCCGGTGGAACGTTCTGAGCCGAATCACTGATGTCAACCGGCTGACCAGAGTCGATAAGGCTCCCCATTGACCACTTGCCCTGCCCCCGACATTTCTGATCAGACCTGCGGAAGCCGACTCGGGCCGTCAACAACACTAAGGATGCACGAACCGACGGGTGAGAGATGGCGTTTGATAGATTCCCCAGGACCTTGAGGTCAATCCAAGCGGAAAAGCTTGCCGAGAACATCCATGTAGCAATCTCCGCAAATCGGACTGTTCGACATTGAACAGACCTGGGGTAGATTGTTAGAGGCCATGGCAACCTAGTTGATCTTTGGCGAGGACCATCCCCCGGAGATAGCAGCTGTTGGAAAGTATGGAGTGCTCACTCATGATCGCAGGACATAGAAGGACGACTGGTAAGAGAAGCTCACCAACCTCGGCATTCCCACAAGCAAGCTGCTTGACACTATCCTGCGGGAGCAATGCTATTTTTTATGGACCGTTGCCTGTAGGATGGAGTGAGGTGAAATCGAGAGCCTTCAGACGAGATCTTTTGGTCAGTGTTAAGGTCGGCAATGAGCAGGGTTGAAAAGTGCTCGAATGGATTGAGTCAGAACCTACCTTACGACCCTTGTGATACATACCGATGGCTCCTCAAACGACTTAGTCATGAGGCAGCCACTGGCAATGCTCCACTTGCCAAACTTCAACCCATCATCATCTCTTTAGCCACTACAACAGCGCTCGACATCCTCAGTATCACAGATCCCATCTGTACGAATGATGACTCACAGTGGATTGCTGTCACGCGTGAATTGAAGTCAGGGGGCCATCCTTGAATCTTCTCAAAGCGGATCACCCCCGTCTACTTGAGCCATTGGGGCACATCATCTCGCAACCGAACTCACCGAGTCAGTATAGGTAGCCCTTTCACGACGACCGTTCGTCTGCCAAGGTGTTCCAATCATCAGGTGTCGATTGAGTAACCTTCTGGGATGGTCAAGAAAGTATTCAATCTAATTGTCTCTGAAGCTAGTATGCCTCTTACTTCGGAGCTTCGCCTTTACAACCACGGTGCGAGTGTCTTGATACTATGATCCCATATCGCTTCCGGAGCTCCCTTAGCTTCCAACCCCGACAGAAGCATATCTTGTTGAAGGTTTTCCATCTTGTCGTTGACTGAGAACAAGGATCCACTAGTCTGGTGAGTCAAAGTCAACGCTGCCGATCGTCCCTTCGGCACATCAGCTCCGTTACCGCCATATTCCGCGCTCGCCATGAGGTACAATACCTTCTGTCCAGCTTCCTCGGGCGTGAATTTGCTGAAGTTTCCTGCTGAGGGTGCGGCAGTTGGAGGGGCGGTAGGGTCCCATTTGTCACCCCAGCTCTTTTTGAGAAGCTCGGTAGCGACTTTACCCGGATGGGCGTGTATGAACACGATTTTCTTATTTTCGGGTTGCTCCGCGAAGTGCTTCATCGATATGGTTACCATTGTGGCGACGTGCCTAGCATAGATGGGAATATTGAAGTGTCCTGGTTCTCTGAGGCTCAGGTCGTTTAAGAATAAGTCGGTGGATTCGCTACCAGCTGCCAAGATGCTAATAACACGCGGGAAATATTGCCCCGGGCCTAACTTAACGGAGGCTTGCAGTTTGGGAAGAAGTCGCGAGATGAAGAGAAAGCGGCTGTAATAGGCTACTGCCATGGTTAACTCCAGGCCTTCAGTTGTTTCTAAAGGGAAGTTAGCCTTTGGTATTCTGTCATACCACTACTATTCATGAGAGATCACATACCTTGACGTCCTTGAAAGGGTAAGAAGCCGGCTGAATGATAAAGGTCAATCTTTTCTTCCTTGCCGAGAATCTCATCCGTGAGCCGTGTAACTTCAGACATGAGAGAGACCTGGCCCTCAAGATATAAAAGTTCGGCATTCTTGTTGATCACACGGATCTCTTCTAGTAGAGGCTGATCCCGGGCTTTTTGACGGCCTATGACATAAGCCTTGACAGGAAAGCCCGTTGAAACCAACTCTATCAAGGCTCTCTTGCCGATCCCGTCTGTTGCGCCGACAAATACAGCAGTTCGGGGAGTTGTGGCCTCGATGAGCTGAGCATTCGAGGCTCTGAGTTGGGCGAGGACGGCCATGGTCGGCTTGAAAGGGTTGCTGACGGTTAAGGTATAGATTGTTCGGGAATGGGTGGGTAAGCACTCAAAATTGGCGAGGACTTGCTGGCCACTCTTATATCTGTCTTTGAGAAATCGCCTGTACATTGTTTCGTAGGTCGTGAGGTATGGCTGCAGCTCCAAGAGCTACAACGCATGCAGCGTGAAACAGGTTTGTCAGAGCAAACAAATAAAGTCTTCCGCGGATGTGTAATCATTTACAGATTACAAATGAGATAGCCAAGAATTTGCACGCAGAATGACAAAGCCGCCGATTAATAGAGTAGTTCGGGAGCATGGCATGAAGAACGTGCCGATGATGAAAGAGCCGAATGAAAGCTTACCAGACCGTAAGCATGATCGCCCCACATCAACACATCAGCACCGGCCTCCGACCATGTCCGAGCCAGGGTTCGGCCCGAATCGCTACTTCGGCATGTTTCGGAGACGGTGCAACCAGTGCTCTGGATGGCCGCTCTCATCGTTGTCTGGCCAAAAAATGAAAACCCCTGTTTGGTATCCATCAATCCAAATGTAAAGCTTTACAATGTTCAGTTCGGTAGATGAAAAGAAACATTTACTTAAGGAGAGGTTTTCCTACCTACCGATCGTCTCTGCTCATTTCAAAACCACTTCGTTCTCCTGCCTTTACTACCCAAGGAGGTTTTTCGCCTTTCATATTGGCTACTATATCTGCATTGGTAACAATCCAACGTACAGAAAGTCTACAGAAGCATCGGCATCCACGCAATGTCTCGAGCGATTCTCATTACCGGTGCAACCGGAAAACAAGGCGGCGCCGTCCTTGATGCTCTCCTGAGGCACAAGTCATCAGACCTTCTTCTTCTCGCAGTTACACGAAATGCCCAATCAGCATCTGCAAGACGCATCGCTGCCAAGTCCCCGTCTATCAGAATTGTCGAGGGCGATCTCGACGCGGCCCCGACTCTTTTCGCCTCTGCCAAGGCATCAGCTGGGACCGTACCACTTTGGGGCGTCTTTTCCGTCCAAGCAATGGCAGACCGGAAATCAGACGAAGAGACCCAGCAAGGAAAAGCCATGATTGATGAATCCATCAAGGCTGGAGTACAGCACTTCGTCTACAGCAGCGTCGAACGTGGTGGTGACGAGCATTCATGGAACAATCCTACTCATGTACCACACTTCATAACCAAACATCGGATCGAACACCACCTACGCGATTCTACCGCGGATAACAAAAGCGCCATGGGCTGGACGATTCTACGTCCCGTCATCTTCATGGATAACCTAGCACCAGGGTTCTTCGGCAAAGTGTTCCTTACGATGATTCGCGACGTCATGGGGCAGAAACCCCTGCAGTGGATCGCCACCAAGGATATCGGCTTCTTCGCGGCTGAGGCTTTCCGTAACTCAACTACCTGGAACAAAAAGGCCATAGGACTGGCGGGTGACGAACTCACCTTCTCACAGTTAAGCCAGACGTTTAAGACTGTCACGGGCGAACCTGTTGGGACAACATTTGGAGTGCTAGGCAAAGCGTTGAAGCACGGAGTCCAGGAGGTGGGCATCATGGTGGACTGGTTCAAGGAAGAAGGCTACAAGGCCAACATGGCAGAGAACAAGAGGATCCATCCTGATGTAATGAGCATGGAGAAATGGCTGAAGGAAAGTGCATTTGTCAAGAAACAATGAAGAAACGGACTGTTTCTCGCAGCATCTCACAGCATTTTGACAGTTTGGGGGGGGCTGATTCGCTCGTACGAGCTACATCAGGCTCAGCGGCCTTAGTTAAGGTAATCTAATGTTAAGATGAGGTACATGGCGATCGAGTGGCATAAATAAGTGAATCGCTTTATCATGTAGATGTGTCCGCTATTGGTGCTGCTGGCCTGATGAGCTTCGTAAACCAATATTGGGTGAGCGAGGGGAAGGGCGGCCTGCGAATGTGGGTCCATGTGTCAGCAGGTAATTACCAAGTGCTCAAATTTGGGGGTGCCAAGTCACGTGGGCGCAACGAATCAATGTCACACTTCGCGTGAGAAGATAATTTGTAAGCTACCTTAGGTAGCACTACTGGATCGTCAGCAAGTGAACTTGGGGGAGGAGGAATGCTTCTCTCCTGTCTTTGACACAACAATGTCGTCTATCGTCAACCATGCCGCCACAAGATGAGGAAGCCACTCATTTTTCATGCACTCAATGTCGTTCAATGAAGTTGAAATGTGACCGCATCAGGCCTCGTTGCAGCCGCTGTGCCAGAGTCAGCGCCGACTGCGAATATCCCCAATCAAGAAGGGCCAATGTTGGTAGGAGGCGACGAGTACGTGAGCTGGAAGCCAAATTAGGTTAGTAATCAAAGGGGAAGTACTCTGCCAGAGACACTCATTGAAGCTGCGGGGCTCCCCCTCAATAACGCTGTCTTCGCTGATGATAGATCACAGTCGAGCTCGAGCGTTTGGCCAAGCTTGTCGACAAATCTCCGGGAAATGGTGAGGCTACGAATCAGGACACGGCCACCCAGAACACAGATTCCATGCATGGAAGCTCTGAAATCCTGTCTGATCTGCCGGGGCCTGCTTCAGATGCAAATGTCTTTCCAGTTGATGCTCCATCGGCTGAGTTGGCTTCGACTGGGACATATGAACAGCGGCCTTCTCTGGAGATGGTCGAACATCTGTAAGATACCCATCGCCAGTTTCTGCAGACGCGCTGATGTATTTGACTCTAGCACCAACTCTTACTTCGACAAGTGGCACTACACGGCGCCCATGCTCCAGCGGACCCGTTACAGTATGTCATTGTCCTTACCAACCCACATGCGCCCCCCAATGTGCCTCCAGTACATTGTGATGGCGTGGGGAGCCGAAATCGGAAACACCCATCGACACTTAGCAATGCCATTTTATAACCGAGCCAGAGAATATGCGCAAGGCGATGAGATGAAAGTCAGTGGTGCCACTTTTGAATTCGCTTTGAACAAATCACAATTGACGTATTAAAGGCTAGTCTAACATTGGCACACGCACAAACCTGGTGTTTGATGTGCTACTTCGAAGCCCAGTACTTGCTTTTCTCACGGTCCTCGATGAGCATTTGCAGGGCCATCAGAATCGCACAGATGCTCGGTCTCCACCAGGTTGATGGAGACGGTCTGGATCACACATCCCTGATACCGCCGCCTCAATCCTGGCTAGAAGCAGAAGAGAGGCGCAGGACCTGGTGGGCTCTTTACTGCTCTGATAGAATAGTAGGCGGTACCGCAGGCTGGCCAGTCTTGATCGACGAGGCAGATGTAAGTCATACGTCAGCTGATGTGGATATCTTGCCTACTTTGCGTGAACTTACATCATTCATAGATATCTGTGCGGCTCCCTGCATCTGAGGCAGCTTTCGAGAATGGCGCCGAAGAGATGACGAGCCCCTTAACAACCATGCGGCAACAGGAAGGGCAAATGTTTTCCTCTTTTGCCGGACGCGTATTGGCCGCATCGTTGTTCCACCAAGCTTTCCAGCACTCGACTCTGACGTTGTCGGATGATAGCTCTCAGGACCCCCGGACAAGAATGCATTGGAAGCGTCATCGAGAAATCGACGACGACCTGGTCATTCTATTGCAAGCCTTGCCCGACGGCCTGAGACTACCAAGACAGATAAGATGTCGAAACGCGATTTTCGTCAACATCATCATTCACATGTCAGTCATCTGCTTGCATCGGGCAGCAATCTCCAAGATCAAGGCCTTCGGTTTACCTGAAAGTACGATTCGCAGCAGCAGAGCTCGACTAGTCTGCTCAGCGGAAGAGATACTAATCATCTTCCGAATGATGTCAGACATCAATGAGAACCTCAAAAATTCGATTCTGACGTTTGCCGTCTACCTCGCAGCTCAGGTCTTTCTTGAAGATTTGGAGCCCACAGAGAAGGATGATTCGCAACAAGATAACCTCGACTTCATTCTTCGCATCATGATCCTATCTTTCAAGACATTGCACAATCCCGTTTCTGGGTCGATGGCTGTGCAGGTTGCGCTGGAAATGCGGCAGCGAGGGCTTGACTCCCCAGCAGTCGAGAAGGTACGTCTGTCAGACTGTAAGTCAGTCTGTTCCATAGGCTGACAATTACAGGCAACCGAGCTACTACTCAGTCACCGATTGACACCAGTTTTTACCAAAGGAGGTACTCAGTCGTCAGGTCCTGTATTTCGATTACCCAGCAACAGCGAGGCATAAGATAAAATCTTTTTGTCGACTTGGATAAAGTCAAAAACATAGCGAAACGCATTTGGAAAGCCGAGAGTGATTGTGAGGATATCCCAACTGAGGTGCTCAATTGGTGAACTGCAATGGCCATGACCGTAGGGTAGCCAGGAGGACCGCGACCCACCCCCTGGGTGTTCACGAAGGCTAACAACCATCACAAGGAATGCAGGAATTTTGTTGCTCAGCATTCATTTAACGTAGCCTTTTATCCCCTGTTCGCCTGTTTCTGAAACTCTTCGCATCATGTTCAACATGGCCATCACCAGCGCCGAGGGGGTAAGTAGGAGCGTGTAATTATGACATTAACTCGGCATGGCACGTGAAAATAAGGGACGACGCAGAGCCCTACCTTAATTTGGCTGTCAAATAGCTTCTGTGAAGTGTCCACTCCACTAGGCACGATTCTCAGTCTCCACTTCCGCCTCCCGCTTGCCCTGTGGCACCGTTCAACCACCAAGACCAGCGAACGGCTGGCTCGGTGAGAGGGCCGATATGGGAAGAGCATCCGGTAGAAATAACAAAATGTGCGCTGCGGCCCGGGTACAACGAGATTATGGAATAATTGCAGGTACATCCCGATATCTGCGCGCTCTCGATGGGCCCGTTGTCTCCCTTGACATCAGGACTAAATTTGAGAGACGCCCGTTAAATGGGATGAACGTAGAGGTTTCAGGTCGGCCTGCACATGTGGGGGACCCCTGCGGTGCTGATATGCAGTCGACGGAAACCATGTGTGGTATCGAGGTAGCTAGAGTTCTCCTCAGACGTACCTGCCATGTTAGCCGCGGGTGGCTGTTTGACTTGAATGAACTTAATAAATTCTCCCTCGCAGTCATCTCTCACCCCTGACCGGTTCAGCACCCCTGTAATCATCAGTTCCGTCCACTATAGTTTGGGGTATATAAAATTCTCGCTTCATGCTCTGAATGAGAAAGACCTGTTGCTCGGTCCGTCACCTGCACAAAGCTTTAAATTTCCCAGGAGAAGTGACAGATTTTGTGACCCAAGCTTCTTTCTCCTTCACTGTATATTTACATAGCCCATTTATGGATTATCACCTATCACAATCATTTTGCACCTGCTGACCGGAGCCATCACATTGATCACATGTTGGTGGTGTAATCGCGTCATGTCACCTTACTGAGCACAATTTGAAGATAAGAATGATGTGGTGAAGCGCACTGTGAGGAGATGCCCGAGGTGAAGTATATCGAAGGCTTTTGGTGTGAAAGGACTGGAAAGAAGTGGGAGCCATGAGAGCACACGATTTCGGAGTAGCGAGAAGCCCTTGAGTGGGCAGCGCCCCTCATGCTTCCCTTAATCTCGAGCTTTCTTTCAATAGATAAGCCCAGGAGTACACCAGCAAGGAGCACGGCGGATTATCAATGACAAATACGTCTCTTGTTAGTAAAGTAAACATTGTTTACCACTCAATGAAGCAATCCCGATGATCATGAAGTAACCCCGCCCCGCAAAAGAGGACAACTCAAACTGATTCGAGGTGGACTTGATGGTCAAGGCGAGGGCGTCGCCAGCGACAAGTGTCGGGGCCAAGGCCCGGTCCCGTACATCCTCCTGATGACGATCACCAATTCGGACCACGTCACAAGCTTAGCAGAGATTGATCAGCATTTCACAAACAGACTACTTTGAAACGGCGTGCAATCTGAACGATTTGTAAGATTGCGTTTCGCCACGGCTGAATGCACATTTTGACTCCGCCATCCACCCGTTGGTGACGCGGCGAGACAAAAGTATGTCGCCCTCAAGTAGGACAAGGAAATCGAGCCTGGGTCTGTCTGGTCGGGGCCGGAGATGTCAGTGGCTGGGGAGTGATACATTCTGGTGGACATAGATTGGGTTTCAGACAAGACGGGCAGGCCAGGGTGGAACCACAGTACAGGTCTAAATATCCTTGGCCCCACTTCGGCCTCCGATGGATAGCGATGTACCGCCGGTCGCATTGCTGACAATTCGGACATTTCTGGCTCCACTACGGCCTCCGATGAACAGCGATGAACAGCGGTGTGGGACTACCGCCGTCTCACCATTAGAAATGGCTTCGAGCTGCAGATGCCGGGCGTTCATATTCTGAGAACCTAATGCAGCATACGTTTGATGTGAATGCTTTAAGAACGCCATGATGCCCATGGCAAAACCAACACTATCTCCTTATCCTCTGCATCACTCTTGGCTATCAATCTTTGATCTTCATATCAAACCCTTAACAAAAATCTGGCAAACTTCTGTCTCTGAGTAATGCCACAAATATCCACCATGTCTAAGATTTTGACTGTTTTTGGCGCCACCGGCAACCAGGGTGGCTCTGTCATCAGGGCCGTTCTCGCCGACCCCGTCATCTCCAAGGAGTTCACTGTTCGCGGCATCACCCGAGACGCCTCTAAGCTGCTGCCAAGGACTTGGCCGCTCAAGGTGTCGAAATTAAAACCGTGCGTTCATTTTTCCTAACCAATCACCACCCTCCCCTATCCAGTCACTCGTTTAGCTCCATCCTCCAAACCAGAGAATAATACCTCCAGGCCGACCTATCATCTGCCGACTCGGTCGCGGCTGCTATCGCCGGCTCTCACACAGTCTTCCTTGTTACCTCACCCGATTTCTTCAACCCTAGCGCCAGCCCAGAGCTCGCTCAGGGCAAGATCGTAGCCGACGCTGCCGCCGACGCCAAGGTCGACCACCTCATCTACTCCTCGCTCCTCCACGTTACTGCAGAGACCAAGGGCCGCCTCACCCATGTCGTTCACTTTGACCAAAAGGCAGAGGTAGAGGCTTACATTCGCGCAAAGTCTATTCCTAGTTCCTTCATCCTGCCTGGCTACTTTATGTCGAACTATACCGTCTCGCAGATGCTCCGAAAGGGCGAAGACGGTACCTACACCCTTGCCTACCCTGTCTCTGCCGAAGCCCGCTTCCCGCTCATCGACGCTGAAGCCGATACCGGGAAATACGTTGCTGCCGTCCTGCGCAACCCTACTCGCCACCTGGGCAAGCAGATTTTGGCTTCGACGGGATATTATACGCCTACACGTCTCCTTGCTGAATTTGAGGAAGCGACAGGCAAGAAGGCAGCCTTCGTCCAGCTCGACGCTGACACGTACAAGAGCTTCCTTCCCTCGCCCATGGCGAAGGAGCTCCTTGAGAACCACCTCTTTGTTGAAGACCCCGGGTACTTCAAAGGCCAGCCGCTAGAGGCGAGCGAGGAGCTGCTGGCTGAGATTGGGCTCAAGTCGACGTCGTGGAAGGAGTTCGTTAAGAAGAACAAGAGCGCTTTCACTTGAAGGGGATTGGCTGCGGACAGTGGGCGTGACCTCAGTTAAATGATCTCGTCTTGGGTATCGGCCAGTATACGTAGCGAACCTGAAGAGATTGCAATTGTTCCTGTGCAGGCCGATATGTCTCGCGGTAATCTTGAACGCCAGCCCATTTCCCGAATGTTATTTACACAATGACTATGTACTGGAAGTGGTTATGTACAAAGCCCCCAGGCCACCACAATGCACCAGGGGCCGTAGATCCGACATGCACTGGGCAAAATTCTCAGGCTTCGTCATCATCGTCCTCCCCATCGTCATGTCGTCGCCTGCATCCCCAGCTGCGGCTGCCAACACCTGCAGCTCGTCTGCTCTTACAGGAGAAGGGTCGGAGGTGCCAGGGCTTTCCGCTTGTCATCAGAGGAGGCAGCAGAAACGAACGGAGGAGCGAGCTTACCTTGGCTTCAATGTCTTGGTGCCAGCTCAGGTTGGCCGACTCGTACGAAACGAAGCCTCCATCTTCGGGGAAGGAGACGTACAGAGCGAGATCGATACCCCTAGGCTGCTGTAGTGTTCGCATTTCGTCAGCAAAAGCCGATATTCCTCCTGACCGCCTTGTATTATCGTTCGGCTTCGCGGGTGGCCATGTTGGTGTCTTGCTAGTAAGAGCATACTCGGATGCATAGCGAGTGGAACAACAACATAGCGAGCAAAACACCCAACTTCGCCAACTCAATCGCGTAATAATTTACGCACTTTCCTCCACGACCAACGATGGAGACGCCTTCTAAAGAAAGCCAACTGTTACTTGCTCTCCAAGTAATGAAAAAAGATCCTACTCTCAGCGCCCGAAGCGCCGCAAAGATCTACGATGTCAACCACGTTACCCCTCGGCGGCCGCCGGAAGGGCAAACCACCCTGAAGCGACACTACGACCATTCGAAGAAATTGACGATACTAGAAGAACAAACCATTGTCGAGTAAATACTCGACCTAGATTCACAATTATACCCCCCTCGGTTGGAGAGTGTTCGAGAATGGCGAATCACCTCCTCACGGCGCGTCACGCGGTATCCGTCGGACCACGACGGGCTTCGAACTTCGTAAAACGACAGCCTATGTTCCGACGCGTTTCTTTCGTAAGTACGACTATAAGAGGGCCCAATGCGAAGACCTCGGCGCGATAAACGCGTGGTTTACACTCGTATGTAATATGGCTGCGAAATATGGTGTGGCGGATGAGGATATCTACAACTTCGACGAGACTGGGTTCCAGATGGGTGTTATCGCCAGTGGAATGGTCGTAACAAACTCTGAAAGACGCTCAAACGTAAAGATGAGGCAGCCAGGCAGTCGAGAATAGGTGACGGTAATCCAAGGCGTTGGCGCGACCGGTTTCTGCATCCCGCCACTCGTGGTGGTTGCAGGCAAATAGCACCTCTCAAGCTGGTACGAAGACAACGCGTTTATTCGCGACTGGAGAATCGAAACCTCTGCAAACGGCTGGACCACGAATGAGATTGGTCTCGATTGGATTCGGCATTTCGATCAGCATACAAAGTCACGTACTCTAGGCGTATGTCGCATTCTCATCTAGATGGCTACGAAAGCCACCACTCCGCCGAATTCGAGCTCTACTGTAAGGAGAACAAGATCATCACGCTCTGTATGTCTCCTCATTCGTCTCATATACTCTAACCTCTCGACGTCGGCTGTTTTGGACCGCTGAAGAAAGCGTACGGTCGACAAATCGAGTTAAAGATGAGGACAGGTACAAGCCACATCACGAAGGAAGACTTCTTTCTGGCGTTTTTTGTGGCATTCCAGAATTCTATGACGAAAGAAAACGTCCGGAGAGGTTTTCGAGGGACCAGACTTGCCCCCCACGACCCAGAAGCAGTCCTCTCGAAGCTGGACGTTAAGATCAAGACGCCAACGCCTCCAGGGACGTCTTCTGGACTACCCGAGAGGTAGACATATAAGACCCCGACAAACCCGCTGGAAGCCAGTTCACAGTCCGCATCCATCAACAATCGATCGCTCGGCACCAGGGAAGCTCGCCAACTCCAATGATTCAGGCTATTGACCAATCCACGAAGGGTACACACAAGATAATGCACCAGTTCGTCCTGATGGACACGAGGCTTAAGGCACTTGAAAACGAGAATGCCAACCTTAGCCGACGTCGGAGAGTTAAGAAAACACTTCTCAGGGAAGGAGGGAGCTGGGGTCTAAGTGATCGATAAGACCAGGTCGCAAAGAAGGAGGTAGATGTTCAGATGAGGGAGGAAACGAGGCAGAATCGGGGTCGCCTTACTCGGGCTGTACCGAAGAAACAGACGCGTGGCGTCTGCGGACAGACTGGTCATAATGCGAGAACTTGTCAGATACTTCCCTTATCGTCTGAAGAAGACGATGAGGAATAGATTGAATTGATTGTAGATGATTTCGTGGAGTTCTGGCCTGGAATGCTCGTCGCGACCTTGTGAGGTGTTTCACTCGCTGTTGTTTCACTTGCTATGCATCTACGTTACCCATAAATCACCCATTCATGTGGTCGCAGTGTCGAATACCACGCTCCCACACCCCGAGGCAAACCTCGTAGACGGCGCTGTTATATCACAAGACGATTTATCTTTCGGCAAGCCATCGGTCAGGCAGAGGCGCTTTCTCCTACCTAAACACAAACACATCATAACTCACGGCATCATCAGGCCGGCCATGGAGGCCACGCCCACCGACGCCCCCGCCAGGCAGGGTCACGAGCCCGAGAGCATTCATGCCGTGTCCAGCATGGATAGTTTGGTTTTGGGGCTTGACACCAACGAGTCCATGGAACACCGCAGGGGCAAGGCTGGCGACGGAGTTCCATCGCGGAAGACCACAGCATAAGTTATCGTCAGCGACACGCAAAGCATCGCCGAAATACAAACTTATCCATGATGCTTCAACTCTTGGTGTAGGTGACCGGCGAACCGCGTGCTCACTGTGGCTCGCACGAGTCTGCCAGCCGACTCAAAGCCGAAGTCTTCGAACCAGGCTGTGATATCTTCTCCCTCGTCATCATCGGGGCGGCGCGTGAGGTCCGAACTGCCTGAGAAGAAATCGCCTGCCCCGCCAAGGATGGCGACTTGGAAGGCCGTCCAGTCTAGAGTCTTATCGGGCATGATGTTTGCGTAGAGGATGGAGTCAGGCTTGGGGGTTCGGATGCGGCCATGGCGGAACGTTGGCATGTTCATGCTGTAGGGTGTCGAGTGAAAGTAGAGTGACTCAATATTGTTGGAGGGTGCGAAACGGTGCGTCGGCCAAACTTGATCTTTCGGTAGAGGGCGAGGAGGTTGGGGTAGTGGCGCAGGGAGTGTCGCGAGGTTCTTTGAAGTAGAAGCGCTTGACCGTGTGGGTCGGTGATGGTGACTGAGAGGTGTCGGCAATGGCGGTTGGTCTGTTACTCGGGTTGCCGCGGCAGGAAATGATATGCGCTCCTGCAGGTTTGCTGCTCGAACGACCCGACCTGAGTTCCGCTGTTCTCGTCTACAGTCGTGTTTGGTAGTGTGTCCCTTCATGGAATCCCGCGACACCAGTATCTGCTGCGGACTCGTCCGGCGGCAAGACGGTTTGGTATGATCTCATCGGCCTCAATCTTTCTCAGTAAATGCCACTTGATCATATCCGTCATACTATTGAGCGTCTGATATGAGACGAATTTGCCTCTCTCTTCTTTCGGCGGCTTTGACGAGGTGGACCGGGCTGCAAAGCCGGAAGCACTTGGTGCTGGCAGTCCCTGGGAGGGTGCTATCGATGACAATCGGCAGTTGTCTAGAAATTGATGGCGACGGAGAAGCGGGAGGATAGAATGTAGGACTTCTCGGCAGGAAGGCCGATCTGTATCTGGATATCAGAAACCAAAGAATCATTATTGTTGCAGTGAGCCCGTTGAGGGCTGCATGGTTTTATCACTAATTATCCGACTGCTGGAAATCGACGATCTAAGACCCACCACCCCCCAACCGCCCACCAAAACACACCAAAAACAGCGATTTACAGGGGTCAATATCTCCACTAATAGCAGAGCTATATATCTAAGACTTAGACATTATATAGATTTAGCTATTAATATAGTATCTTTAAAGTCTTATATTATTTAAGAGTATATACAATAAGATATAAGCTTCTTAAGGAGCTCGCTATAAAATTACATACTAACGATTTTTAAAGATATAAGTATACTAGGCTATTATTTATTAGCCTATATTGTAACGGGCTAGGCCCGATCGGGCCTCGGCTGGGCACTCGGCCGAGTGTTGCTCAGCCAACTATCGCGATCACCGCGAAGACCGCAGGACTAAGCGGGAAGACTTCATTTCTTTAGGCTGGAATTCTTCCAGCCCCTTTTGTCCTCTTCTCTGTTTCCTCAGGATTAGTTTACTCGTAGTAGTCACCACAGCCTGTTGCAATTATACGCGCTTGGACCGTTACATATATAATATAATATATTATATTAAAATTCTAAGAATCTTAGTCTCTAGCTTTAGTCTATAATATTAAAGTTTAAGTAAGCTATTAAGGTACTAAGTTCCTCCATAGTAAAATTTAGTAGAGAGTTTAAAGAAGTTTATATTATAAGGGCTATAAGATAATATATAACTTAACTTACTAAAAAAAGACTTTTTTATATAAGATAGCTATAAAGTGTTTAAATTCTCTATTTACTAACTATAATATCTTTATAAGATTTTTCTAGTACTCTATTTATAGTCTAATCTATACTATACTAGAATCTTAGATAAAGAGCTCTACTATTGGTGGAGATATAGACCCCTGTAAATCGCTGTTTTTGGTGTGTTTTGGTGGGCGGTTGGGGGGTGGTGAGTCTTAACCGTAAGTCCAAAAAGGGAAGTGTCAGTCATGGCGTGTATTTATTTATGGCAATTTCTACACTGGCGTGAAAGAATGGCTACACCGGCGTCACTCTTACACAGGCCCCTCACTTTCATGGTTCTGATTCGCTGTTTTTTCATTCGACCCACAGGTACATCGGCCCAAAGGCGGTGAAGCCAGCTCCTCTAACAAAGCCCTGGGTTTCGGTGAAGGACCAGCAGGGTCAACCCAGGTCTGAATCGAAATCATAACAAGGTCTGGGTTTAATGCCGAATAAGATCAATCCAAGTATACCCTAAATGCCAGCTGTCTATATCGCTATCCTCTCACCACTATCGAAGGAAGTACCTCCTCGTCGCTGTCGAGCAGCTCCCACTGACTCTTTCGCCTACGAATGCTGGGCTGCGTCTGCCGCCCGCTGGCGCATACTCCTGTAGTTCTTCCAGCTCCCAGAACAGCTGCCTGCCCACGCGTTTGGCGCTAGGATGAGGCACTGGCCTGGTTGCTACCCTGGATGCTGGCCTGTTGGCTCACTTCCGGCGGAATCCTAGCTAGCGTTGGAGTTGTTGAGGCTCCCGGAGGTCGACCTCGCCTGCGCCGCCGTGGTGCCTGGCTTGCTGGCTGGCTACTGGGCTGGCTGCTTACACCGATGGCTAGCCGCGCTGGAACAGCCTGCGTGTTGTTCTTAGGTCTCCCACGGAGAGTAGTGGCGATGTCTGATACAGCTTGTGTTCGAGCGTTGGTCTCAGCAGGCGTCCGACACAACGCGTGCAGCCCTGTGAACCTGACAAATACCGAATCTTTCGCGGAGAATCATTCTGAGTAGGCTCAACATGCAGCAGAGAGGTGAAATTGGTGTACTAGCTAGCTGGAAGAGCTGCTATGCGTCCCATCAATCGTCAGGGTGGAGAGCGAAGCGAGAGGTACAATGGACGCTGGTGGCAGAATTCAAATGCACTAACAAAAAAGGATGGACCAATAAGAAACCATGAAAGTGACGCCTGTGTAAGAGCGACGCCGGTGTAGCCATTCTTTCACGCCGGTGTAGCAATTGCCAAACCGAAACGGGTCTTCAATGCCAAGGCGCCGCGCTTCGGGAGTCCCTGCAGGGCTAAAAAGACATGTCCCCGACAAGGAGTGAACATGACACTAGGGGAGAGACAGGAGGTACAGCGCCAGAACGAAGTAGACATGCAGGTGAAGCAGGGAACGCAGCAAAGCAGTAGTCGCAAGTCGAGGACTGGAACGAGGGAACGTCGTTGTGGCGTCTGTAGCAAGACAGGATGCAATGCAAGAACTTATCAGATGGTAATGGAAATATCTAAAGAAGACGGCTACCATTGAGTTTAATTGATTTTGAGATGTTATGGTTGACTTCCCGAGGAAGACGGTCCAGTGGTCGCGGTTGGGTGGCTCACTCGCTTGTCGCTCTCTGGCCCCACATGTGGATTCGGTCTCCACCTACGGTTTCATAGCCCCACTTACGGGTGGCGCGACCCGACGGAATACTCAATCATCTATCATTGCTGTTGTGGCTGCGCTTATGGAAAACGATGTTGGGGGCTTGACTGACATGCTGGTTGGGGATAGTTCGACTATCTCCCTTACACTGGCTAATGCCAGCTTGTCAGATGCCAGTCCAATGCTTGCGTTCCGGCTAGATACACAACCCCCAAAACAATCCAGCACATTGGCCCGGCAGGTGCTCCACAATTGTGACGCCATGATGCCACGATGGAGGATCTCGAGGCTTATCTCGAAGGAATTCGTGCCAAGTTGCAGGCACGACAGCGATTTCAATGCAAGACATATCTTGGGCCGACATCATGGCCCTTCCCGCCTTGAACGACTCTAGCGAAAGATTAAACGACGTGCCCCTCCGTCTACGAGCTCACAAGGGACAAATTACACCACAAGTACTTGCTGGAGCGGCTCGAGGTGTTCGAAAGCCCGAGACGCTGATGGAGAGTTATGGAAACATACTTGTTAATTCCACAGCACCTAGCACTGCGTGGCCGATCTCTCCAATGTCTTAGGAGCTGTCAGAAAGGCACGGACCGCCCGCTGGCAGGGTTGAAAAAGGCGCCTTCGCACTGGGAGTGTTTCAGAACAACTTGAACAAGAACCTCATCAGAATCAATTAAACAACGGGAAGAGGCTGGGTTTCCTCCCCGAAAATCATCAGCTGCACGAGCGGGCACTTGAAGACCTCGTACTTCTGACAGGAGCAAGCATCGTCGCGGAGTCCATGTGGTGGAGCATGTGAAGATGGAGATTGGCGGCTAGTAGATGTTGATTACTGTCAAAGCGCAGTTGTAAGCAGAGTGAAGTGGTCTTCCGCAACGCAGACCGCAGTCCACTTCGTAGGTATATGGTGATAGAACATCTGAAATCTAGCCTCCTCCTGTTAGGAGAGGCCCCCGCGGCTTCTTATATAACTCTCACAGTGCCTCCGTACTTCCCCACGCCCCTACCATACGCTTGGGGATGGTGTACCGCAGTTGTGCCCTGACAATTACATTGTGCGATCACCTATTTGAGGCGAGGTGCGTCACTTTTGGCGATGAGACAACGCAAGTGGTCATACAATCCTCGGATGCCTCCAGGAGTTCTTGACGACTCGTTGTCGTACAACTAATACTTGCTACGTCATACTCCTCCGTGTGTCATCCGCGGCCACGCCCACAGCATTTGGTGACTGTGGTTGTTCATGTCAAGCTCTGGAGCTCTCTCACGATCTCTGAATCTCCAACCCAGGACTCCTGTCTCCGGAACGTCCAACGACCGGATCCGGGCGATCAGATTAACTGCCGGATTGAGATAACCCTGAGATAACAACTATTTAGAGATGATTGGAGCCTTCTTTGTATCAAAGATCTTTTCTTCAGGCGTTACTTGAATTTACGATGGTTCTCATCCTTGATGTCTCCATTGTGTCAGATTGACAACCCACACTTCTCCAGAATGCAACCGCACACAACGCCGCTGACCGCCTCGGGATAATCATCCCCCCATGCTCGCTTTCGGTCGTGACAAACGTGCCTTCGCAGAAATGAAGAAGGACAAAGTAAATGCTGCGGCTCTAAGGCCTACATGGTATCGCTAAATTCTGATACTGGCTCGAGACGCGCTCTCTTGATAGTACACTGTCCTCGCCGATCGATCCTCAAACGGAGGACAAAAAGGAGGAAATCCAAGAACAGACTGTGAAAGGAAAATGTAATAGATATGTGTCAGACGTACGTGCCCTGATCAGGGCAACTTCGACGTCTTGGAAAGGGTGATCTAATGTCACGAGAAATCTATGGTCGTATTGATGATGATGTTCTTGTGTGGTTTTCTCTTGTTCAGGCACCCCGCACTCGATCCCGTCCGGGATTGATCTTGGCCTATTGCCACAATAGCCAATCAGGATCCTTAGTTGTCTGACAATATAGTGTAAGTGAGTTTGATATCGTCGTCACATTGCCACATTAGAGTTTGGCCTCGTTTCGTCCTCAGAAGCCCAGCCCCAGGGGGAAGAAGGATGAGTATAGCATCTTTGATCGGGGGAGGCCCATACCGGGCGAAGAGAGCCTCGTCTTGCCCATGCGGACCTCACTGACCCGGCGGTCTCGGCCGCGGCCCTTGATGCCCTTATTGCTGTTCTTGTAGATGTTGGAGAAGTACCAGAGAAGGTCGCGGTCATTGGGCGACAAAGCGTCGACATTCGTGAGGGAGGTGATCCAGTCCGCAAGCTGGGCAATCTTGTCCTTGTGGTACTTGTTCTGATGGTTCTGCGTATGGCCTGTTAGATGAGGATCTCCTTATAGCGCTCGCAATGACATACTTTAAGATTACCTCGGGTAGTGAAGCACTTGTCGCAAGTGTCGAGCTTGCACACGAAAGGCTTGGTCTTGCTGTGCGTAGCCTTGTGTGCTGCCAGGTTTCCGCGTTGGGAAAAACTGGCCCCGCACATCTCGCACTCGAAGGGGCGCTCGCCTGTGTGAAGACGAGTATGTGTCTTGAGGTTACCAGGCTGAGAGAATCGACGGTCACATCCATGCCACTTGCATTTCTGGTACGTCTTAGGACGCATCGTTGGCAATCGAGGGAGGCCACTTACATAAGGCTTGTCGCCAGTGTGAGCACGCCTGTGTGTTTGCAGATGCGTTCTCTGTTGGAAGCTCTTAGGGCAGCTATCGTAAGGACACCTGTACTTCCCCGCTGTCAGTCTCTGTCAATCTCACGGTGGGCGCCCAATAGTCATACCGGATGGGGTGAAGACGGGTCCGACTTGACGCTGCCGGTACCGGCCTCTGAAGAGTTGCTGCAGGCGAATTCTTCCTTATCCTTCCTCTTCTGAAGGGCCTTCATCATGACATCGACAGGAGTGGTGAAGACGACATCGTCTGTCATGACAGGCTTGGCATAGGCGATCTCCTTTGTGTTTATGGGGTCTGGCGGCCTGTGAGCACTCAAGGTCTCACTCCTGGCGGCAGAAGGGCTCTGTTGTTGAAGCCAGTGTCCTTTCATATGGTGCTGGGAAATCTTGGCCACCACGGGGAGACCGAGCTGCTCTTGCTGGGGACTCATAGAGTAAGGCATGGCCAGGTGGCCGGCCGGCTGGTCGTACTGGCCATAGGAGTGGTGGCCCTGGGCGTGGAAACGACGCTTCGAGTCAGACAAGGGAGATACACCATAGGCTGATGCTGTCACATAGGGAGCTATATGAGAGGCGACGAGGGGGCCATAGGTGAAGACAATTCTCTGATCATACTGGCTTGTACTAGAATCGTATTGCGTCGGCTGCGGGGCGTACTGAGGGTAGGCAAACTGATCCCTCATGGGATATCCAGAGTGGTGTTGTGGTTGCTGCTGCTGCTGTTGTTGCGACCAGTGGTCCCAGGACTGAGGTGTTGGCGAGGAAGTCATCCGCCCGGAAGGGATGAGCGATAACGTGAAGATGTAGCAAAGTTAGATGGTTGACTAACACGAGGAGGAGTAAGTTTTTTAGTACAATGCTTCTGTACGTCGTTATCAAAAGTGCTGAGTCATAGGTCGAGAAAAACAGGATGAGTGTTCTCAGGGTCGCACAACCGTATATATACCGTGGCGGCGAGAAGAAGACTGATGTACATATGGCTGGGGGTCGATCCAGAGGAGTCACGCGATTGGGACATAGCCTGTGAGAGATCTGGACTACGTTGCGCCCATGCACGAAACAAGTGTAGGGGTAAACAAAAGCAAGATACCTAGCGCCGATGTGAAGATTTACCCTCCAAGCCCAGAGTTGACAACGGCAGAGAGCGAGCACCAGGATTACCTCCCCTTTCGGCAGGGGCGAGCACCCCTACCGACCAGGGCCTGAGAGTACCGTGGCCGCAGGAAGAGGTCATGCAAGGCAAAGTCGACACAGTTCAGCCCTGGAGCAAGGCGACGGTAGACAGCCATCCCTCTCGAGGACTCTCCGCTGCCCCCCCCTCCCCCAATCTGTCAGATGGCTAAGTGACAGCTGCCAGGGTATGTGGTGACAAAAAAAAATGGGGAGGGGTCTTAAAGCGGGATGGTAGGCTCCGGAGACCGAGACGCCATCCTACCTAACCATAACCCAACTCGCCTTGGCTCGCCAGGCTGACATGGCTGCGGCTAGGACTGGTACTCTTGGTGCACCTGTTGGAGGACAGGTGGCGTCGAGGGGCTTAGGCTGGGGGGCCAACGGGAAGGTCCCATCAGTGACAGTCGTGGCCGAAGTCAGGTGGGCTTTGGGCGGGATAAATGAGACGTGCGAGAAGAGTGGGCCTGACTTAGCCTTGTTAGTCGATGGGTGATCGATGGTCTGTCCCGGACTGGAACGGATACGGAGGGCATGGTCTCTGAGCACGCCGCTAGTCAATTTGACGTGCGCCATGGCCACCGCATGCTAAAGTTATTTTGCCCTGCTCTGCTGGTGTAAGACAGCCAGCTGCTTAAGAACAATGGGCGAGGGGAATAAGCATGTCGAGGTCCGGATACAGTAGAGGTAGAGATTGCGAGGATAGACGACGGATGGTGTACAATGCGAGGTCCACAGCTGGCACACCCATGTGCGGCTTTGGGGGGTTCAGCAGGTGTGCGTGGGTGATGTTAGGTATCGGGTTGTGCATTGTCACACAGTCTCTCGCCTTCTCACGTCGCTCCCAAGTCCCAACCAGATGTTGGTCGGCCACTACAGTTCAACCTCGCGGAGCTGCAGGCCTCTGATAGCGCACGACGACGTACCAAGTACCCGTGCCACGCCCCACTTATTCCCAGTCTCGTTCCTCCCCAGCCCCTAAGCTGGTGCTGGACAGTAAAAACACCAGGACATTAGAAACACCACTTTTTGGATCACCATCTACTATCTACGCGTTTATTCAACAACCACACAAATGGCTCCTATTACCACATCTGAATCTCGTATCTTAGAGGCTAGACAATACCTCGAAGATAACCCTGGTGCAAAAGTAGCAACTATTGCGCGAGAATTTCGTGTCTCGCGCAATAAGCTACGCGCTCGCCTTGAGGGTCGTCAAACTACAAAAGGACAAAGATCGAAGAAAACAAAGTTATTGGAGCCCGAAGAGAAAGCTATTTGTCGCTATATCGATCGACTCGACCGGATCAACTTGGCTGTACGCCCTGAGTTTGTTGCAGATGCTGCAAATGCGATTCTACTCGAGCGCGCGGGTGGATCTGGATCTGGATCTGGAATCCCAACTGTCGGCCGTCGATGGGTTACGCGCTTCTTACAGCATCATGGATACAGCAAGAAGCGCCAGAAGAAACTCCATTCTGATCGCCAGGCATCTGAAGACCTTGAACGCGTACAGGAATACTTCGGCCAGCTACAACAGACGATCCAGGAGCAAGGTATCCCTCCAGAGTGTATCTGGAATATGGATGAGACCGGGTTCCGGATTGGTATCGGCAAGGACCAACTGATTGTCACCAAACGCTCCAGAGCCCACTACTTCGCTATCCCAGAAAACAGGGAGTCTGCAACAGCAATCGAGGCTATATCAGCTGCAGGCAATGTGATCCCAGTCTTCTTGATCTTGGCTGGACAGGTCCATATGTCCCAGTGGTATCAGGTCCCTGAACTGGATCCAGAGACTGCTATCCATATGTCACAGACTGGATATTCCAACGACCAGATTAGCCTCGAATGGGTTAAGCATTTTGAACGGCACTCGGCAAAGACATCTATCGGCTCAAAGAGACTCCTCCTCCTTGACGGACATGGGTCCCATCACACGAAGGAATTCATCCAGTACTGCGACGATCACCAGATTATCCCATTTGGGCTACCTCCCCATCTAACCCATCTCCTCCAACCGCTTGATGTCGTTGTTTTTCAACCACTTAAGCACTACCACGCGAAGGCCCTGGACGTAATGGTCCGGGATGGGTTGACGAATATCTCGAAGATTGAATTCCTTGCCTGTATCCAGGGCGTGCGGACGCAAGCTTTTAAGAAGTCCACAATCCTCTCTGCATTCAAGAAGACAGGGATCTATCCATTTAACCCACTTCCCATCCTTCAGCAACTCCAGGAGCGCCAGGCCCAGCGGACACCAACACCACCGCCTTCAAGTCAGGGCTCTTCATCAAAATTCAGTACGCCAGTCACACTCCGCCAGATCCACAAGGTGGCCTCCAAGGTTACAGAGGGCCTACAAGAAGAAGAGGCTCTTGACCGGTCTACGGTCGCAAATATCGACCGCTTCATGAAGGGGGCTATTTCCCTAGCTACAGAGCTTATTCAGACAAAACGGGACCTTGCGCGTACGAGATATGCGGAGCAACTTGCCCGACAACGTAGAGCAGGGAAGAATACCCAACTACGGACTGGAGGGGTATTAACAGTTGATCAGGGTCGCCGGATGGTCCAGCAACGGGGTGAAGACGAGCTGGCAAAGGCCCAACGTATCGTCGAGGCAGCCCAAGTAAAGGAGCGTACAGCCCGGAAAAAGTACTTTGAAGCAGCAGCAAAAACAGCTCGACATTGGAGGCTCAAGGGACGCCTAGGGGAGTCGAAGTGATTGATCTAGATGGTCGTACGCGGTGGTTATTACGTGGCTTCTAGAGGGCGGTCCAAAAAGTGGTGTTTCTACTGTCCTGGTGTTTTTACTGTCCAGCACCAGCTTAGGGGCTGGGGAGGAACGAGACTGGGAATAAGTGGGGCGTGGCACGGGTAGCTAGAGAATGAATGCATCAAATGAGGATTCTGCAGGCCCACAGATGTAAGTACCCCTGGTCCGCAGAAAGGACAGTCTTCTTTTTTGTACCTTAACAAGAAAAAAATCCACATTGTTCAATTCAGTGGTGACAGTTGCGTTGATCGCCACCCTGGAACTCGCGCTATCATCGGATGTCGCAGCGGGAAAGCAGTGCAGCTAGGGCTTCGTCCCGGGATCTGTGGTCATTCTACGGGGACGAGCTGACAATCTGAAGCTCGCCGTGAGGATTCTCGGCCCGAAAGGGCCAAAACCCTCACACATAACCGCGTGGGACTCGTCTTATGGCGCGGTGCTCAACAGAGGCGGCTTCACAGTTATCCTACTTGGAACGTAACATCTAAGTAGATATCTACTTCTCATCGAAGCACCTCTTAGCTGCAGCACTGATGACATCCGCGACAGACTTCCCATCGGCCTTCAAGTTATAGGTGCAATGTCCTCCATTCTGCAGCGAAATTGTGACCATGAGAGTCCCGTCTTCGTTCGCATCATACGTATAGGTATAACCATTTGACCATTGCTCTCTGTCGCCTTGTACGTCATCAGGCTTGACAGTTGATGAGCCTTTGCCGCGGCATCTCGGGTTACCGCCGCCGATCACACTGCTGACGACGCAGGCAGCGCCGTCAAAGATGTTGCTGACAAGGTTGTCCCCTTGGCCGAAGACGCCGCTCTGGCCGAATAGTTGCCTTGCATGGAGACCAGGGCCGACCTGACTTCCGGTCTATGTTGAATGTGTGTTAGTCAGCTTTCGAGGTCAGGATGGGACTGGCATCGAAACGAGCTTCCCCATTCGAATTGATGTGGTGGATACAAAGCTGTTGCTGCGCATCGGGAAACTGATCGTTCAAGGCAGCTTTCATCTGGTTGTCGAAGTCGGTAATGATAACGTCCGGTGGTCGGATCGAGTGCTGCTCCGCGAGCTGTCGAATGCTCTCGGAGAGGAACTGGAACCCCTCCCGTCTCTCGTTGTCGATCAAACCAAAAGCTGCATTAAAGACAGAACCAAGGCAAGTCTGTCCTGTTGCTTGGAACAATGGAAGCTTGAAGCGGTTGGTGTTGTAAGTGTTGTCGAAGCTGATGACCTCGGGGAACCGCTTCCACATCTGGAGACAGTACGGAAACGTCCAGACAAGACCAACGAGGCGATTTGGCTCATCATCCGCCCACTTGACAAGATAGGGAACCCCCATCTCGTCAAACAGCTTGATCAGTGCTGCAGTAGGAGTGTGGCCGTTCAATTTGTCTCGATTGATGAGAGCCCGGGCGTTGTAGATGTCCCTCTGCGTGAAGGTTGATTCGGGGTGTTGCTCTTGGACCACAGCCCGTACGTCACGGGCCCGGATACCGACCCGACGGCTTATTGACTCAATGGTTGCCCTGACAGTTGTAGTGAGTCGTCTATGAGAAGGATGTGCAGACGGCCTAATGCTGCGATTATGGTTGTGTTGACTATGCTCCGGAGACGAGTGCTGTCGTAGAACCCATTTGCCCTCTTCTAGAGCTTCAGCGATCACCATCCACTTACATCCGCACTTCCGAGACTTTCGTTGCCGAAGACCTGCGCCTCGGCTGGGTTTTGGGTCTCCGTACCGATCGCATCGAAGAGAATACCGAATCTTCCGACCCTGGTACGAGCGGCCGTTATGCTTTGCAATGCCAAATCCATTAACTTTCGCGAAAGTGTTGACTGATTCGAAGAGGGCTTCGATTGTTGGGAATGAGTCGCCTGGGATCGGTGGATTCGGGATCGCGTCTGGGGTGGGGGATGAAGAAATCCGAAGTGGAGAAGATCTGATCTCTTGGGGGGATGGTGGCTGGCTGGACGACTTTCGAGGCGGCGAATAGGGAGGAGGGGATTCGAGCGCATCTCAACTGAGTGGTGACCATCCCCATATCTCGCGCCATTGGCGTACTCGTTCGTACGACCGGGCAAGTTCAAGGGTCAATCTCCGGTCTGTTCCAATCACTTCCCGCACTAGTTTACAGGCAGATTGAAACTCGGCCCTTATGGATGACGACTGCTCTTGTTGTGATTGCGGTGGAGGGTAGGAAGGCAGTAGGTCGGTTTCTGGGCCTGGTATAGGTATTTTGACTCGCTGTGGTCGTCCTCCTTGGGATGGGAAATCGTTCGAAAGGTGTATCTCGTGATCAAAACGAAGCTCCCCTGGTGGCTCGTGAAGCCCTTGCGATCCGTGGGGCCGTGGAGCGGTCGTAAAGGTCTGTGGATAAGACGCAAAGAGGTTTCCGAGTGCATCTACGTCGCCGACTCCGTAGTGTTGGCCGATACTAGTTGCATTGCTACCTGCTGAACGAGGTCTATTCGCGAGAAATGGTGGACTGACACTGGCTTGTCGGCTCTGCCGCTGTCGTTTTCGGGGACGCAGTTGGCCGCCAAGACTGGGGCTTCGGGTTCGACGTCTTGAAGTGCTCACTGAGCTAGAAGGTGACACAGACTGGAGCATGGCGAAAGACCTAATGGTTGATGGTTGAGAGACTGATGGTGGATCGTCAGATTAAGGAGTGCCCAGCTCGAGGTACTTCGGGAGCGTCGGCAGAATTCTGCCTGCACTAACAAAAAAGTGGCTGACGAATCAGATGCTATAAACCTGGCGCGTCCCTAAGGCGGATGCGTCCCTATCAATTCTTGATGCGTCCCTATCAATTGCCTTGTTTTATTGCCATATTATTAGCAACACTGATCTGAGCTCTCTACAGGATGTCATCAACGGTGTAGTTATCTCTATTTCATTGTCCGTTTAATCACCAAAATCTTCGAGCGTACGTCATTGTGTTAAACGTCATTGCTCACCGCTACCCTGTCACGATCAGGTCATTATGCGTCCGTCAAGCAGAGCGTGTTCAAGGTAATACTTAAGACGTTGCCGTAACGATGATGGCGTCCGTCAGCCGGATACAGACCCGTCAATGCTCTTTGAGGGAGGCCTTAAAGATCATGTGGTTGGACCGGTTGCCCGGAGGTTCTCCGTGTGCCACGAATCTATCGATGCAGGGTGCTTATTGTCGCATCATTAGCCTCCATTCCGGAGGGACAGCAAAGGTCAATGTACATTGAGTACCTGTACCCTTTCGCAAATGGTACACAATTGGCGCTGTCTTTCATAGAAATAAAGGGAGGAACGGCGTCCTGGCGGTTCTCCGGTCGTGGTATCTAGGGCTTGTCTTCGATACATCAGCTTACTCATTTTCTGGGCGCTGACACGTCAGCATGTACTTTTGACACTGCGCGGCGACCACATAACACCGACACGTCATATTTGGCATGTCATGTTTGGCGTTGGTGATCAAATTAGCCAGTCTGAATATTGTGGTCAGGGCTTTCGCGAAGGATAACTCTGGAGTGCTTGGAGAGCGCTTTGACGCACGCGATGAGGGGGATGACGAAGCAAGGCATATCCGTTCGGGTCTTTGTACCGCGCGGTCAAACTCCAGCTGGTGGACTTGGCCATTACCATGAAATAAAAAGGATATGCGATATTGATGAACGCGCCAAACAATGGAGGTCCGCATCGGTACTCACCAGCACGAACGGGTTCATCAAGATCCCCTGTTCGCGGCACCAAATAGCGGCCACGTAGAGTTGGCTGAACTGCTTCTTAGGAGAGGTAGCGACTGCGATTGAACTGATAATCACAAGCGGACGCCTCTTTATGCGGCATGGCTGCTGGGTGGTGTCAATCAATTACTTCACTCACCGATCTGATATTCGCTATTGGCCAAAAATAACCGATGACACCGCGCTTCGCTCACGATGCGTAGCCCTGTCATGATCTCAGTTTATTGGTTGATTAGTAACATTCAGTGAGGGGAAGGTGGCTGAGAATGAGCCTCCTATGACGAATCAATGTAAGTGTGACGGATATCTGATATCAGGAATATCAGTCGAGTCCTAGTTTCTGCAAATACTTAAAGGCCAGAGGACGGCCACACTGGTTGCGCGTCGAACTTTCAATAGCCATATGAAAGGGAAGAAGCAAACAACAGCACTTTTCTCTTATCTGCCGGAATGTCTGTCGAGCAAGTCCAGGAGGCCCTGAAGGAGCACTCCGACGCGAACATTGACGATTATATCTGCTCCTCCTCTTTTACCACGGAGCTTCAAGAGGTATGCCGATGGGAATAGTCACCCCCCTAAGCGTGTGCTCATGCGACGCTTGTTTAGGCTATCCGAGGACACATCCATATTGAGCTTCAGAGCTGGTTCTTCTACCGTAAGCTCAGCGCTGACTGCCGTCGTGCCAACATTGCGCTCCATGGATTTGCCGCGTATGTATCACCCGCCATCCCTTCTTGATATTAACGCTCACCTTCTTTCTTGTGTTGAAGCCTCTGGATGCGATCTGCCGTTGAGTGCCTTGCGGACGCCAACTGGCTAGAGTCGTATTTAGTCCAGCGCGGCGGCTGCTGTACGCCGACCGATATTCCGGCACCCAAGATCTGCTGGCCCGATAACCCAGTCGACCCTGTCCATCCTGTTTATGAAGCTCTCCAGATCGAAAAGAAACTTATGGAGGATCTGCAGCGCCTGTGCGGCACAGCTGACAAGTGCGGTGACTATTCGCTACAGGATGTCATCGAGACGCGAATGCTACGTAAGGAGACGCGCCACGTCAAGGACATGGGAGACCTATTGCAACAGTGCGTCCGCGTCTCTAAGCAGATGGGGCACGGTTTATACCACCTCGACAAGGAGCTTCGGTCTACTCACGGCCTAACGCCCTGGGGCTGCTTGAACGACCCCGACTCCACGAACCAGCTACTGGATCAGGCAACTAAAGACCTGTACAAGGCCTGTGTCTAAGCATATGTGTGCGGACCGAAGAAAGGCTGTGGCGGGAACGGAAATCCAGTGGACTAAATTGATAGCATGGAATGAAGTGTGCTGCACTGAGCTGCTAATGGCTGCGACTACCGAATACCCTGGGTGATTCGTTACTTTGCCAGAATGTAAACATGTGTCCCCGCTGCCCACTGCAGGTCCCCCTTACATAGTCAGAAGATCGATGTGCGTCTTATGACCATAACCAAGCCAGCAGCCTATGCGAGTCAGAGGGGCCAGTGTGGCTGTAGATCAACAGGGATCTAACCGATACCGGTATCCCTTCCTGGAGGAGAGGCGGTCAGGCTTCGACTCTCCCCCGTACAAGTGGGAGATCGTCACAACAAACCAAACTCCTGACACGCCACAGCAAAGGGCTCTACTAGTACGCCTAGAAGAAGTCTGGTTGTCCCCCGACCAAAAGTCTCTGATCGCAAGCGTCATCATCACCAACATCGCCTTTCAGGAATTGGTCGTCTGCCGCTTCACCTTTGATTATTGGAAGACGACATCCGAGGCTGCTGCTGAGAACAGTCAAACCGTCTATGATGGCGCGGAAGGTAATGACGTTTTCACCTTCAGTATTACACTGTCCGACCTAGTACACCTGGAGAAAAAGGCGTTTTACTTTGGTATCAGATATAACGTCCTTGGCCAAATATTCTGGGACAATAACGACGGACGCAACTTCGAAGTCCGTTTCCGTAAAAGTACCTCAGTCAAAACTGCGAGAGGCACCCCCAAGCCAACAGCAGTAAGCCTGTCGGCGATCCCCCTCGAATCATCCGTTGATCTCCCCCGGCCAACTTGACTCGGCCAAAGTCGAGACCGTCGACTTGGACGATTCTGAGATTGAACAGGCGACGCTCAACAGTAGTCAGCCTATCCAATAGTACGCAGGGTCTGATCCTGACGGTTTCCACTTCAAGGCCAAGCCTACTGGCAATGTGGGTAGCGAAAACCTATCCAAAAGCTTTGCTGCTCCCTGCGGCCAGGCCTCCTTGGTTCAGCACAACTTTGGGGCTGCGCTTTCCGCCGCCGTCCATAAGGCCAAGGGCCCAATAAGCAAGGACCGCAACTCCGATGATCTATATATGAAGAGCCATAAGCAGAGTAGGGCAGCCTCACTGGCACGGAGGCCGGAGCCAATTGGGGCTAGCAGCGATCTCTCTCCCGCGCCCTTTACTCTTAGTTTCCCAGCACCTCTTCCGGGAACCAGCTCACCAGGCGGGTCTCTGGCCTAATATTCACGTAAATAGTTCTTGAACAAATACTACTTTGTACGTACCAGTCCCAGCACTGAACGGGAGACTTAGGGGCACCATGTCGAATCAGCCCTGAGCCAACATGTGATGTGGCTGATAGTAACGATAACCACTCTTCAGTTCGGTTCCAGTCAGACTAGGCAAAATGGATCGCTGGAGAACGCCAAGTTAATGGGCAAGTGATGTATGTTGTAGTCGACGCACCAACAGTCCTTAATTAGTCTCAGCCCAAAAGGCAGCCAGGTGGCGGCCTGCCTTGACGCGACATGCCTGCTCTGGTCAATATCACACCGTTCATTTACTCTCAGTAGTTATGTCAATTCTGGCTTCATTGATTTGCATGCGCTCGACGCCGCGCCAGCCGGCTTACCTAAAAAGACATGCCTTACTTCGGCAGTCGACAGCCTGAACAGCCAAGTTAAAACATCAACCATTTAGTAGACCTCTCCGCCACACACGAGCGGAGGTATTCGCCGGTACGTTGCTATTCTGACGGTGGGTCCAGCAGCAAGACCGCCCGGGAACGACTCTCCACTCGTGGATAACAGTTCACTCAGCACAATGAATACAAGCACAATGAAACCAGCAGGTGGCAGAAGGAGGTAGACCAGTAGACCTCTTCAAGCAGTGTCAGGCATGAAAGTGAGTAAAATCAGTATCAGTCGTTGGTGAGTAAACTTGTGGTAGAAATAGATCAAGGTGGTAAGAAGTCATTGTCCATCAGATATGAGCAGCGTATCGACATGATGGGTTGTGTGGTCAGCCGGCTGTTGCTTGTCAAATAGGGACATCTTCAATACAGCCCAGCACAAAATAACTAACGGGACCTGGGCCAAGCCCATGCCGACGGTATGCATGATGTTTCCGGCTGCCAAGCAGTATATGATTCTCTTATTGAACTCCAGACTCAGTTGATACGAACAAGGTTGTTCACATTCAGGGCTGGTGCTGATGATTAATCGTAAATCAAGGGGTTGGTATCTCTGTCGAAGATTCACCCGGCCGGTCTGGACTTTCAAGCCCCATCAATAGCACTAAGCTTCCTAAATGACGTACCAATGCACTGTTCCCTGATCCCTTTTGATGGTAGTTCAGTGGCAAGCTCTCGTCGTCGAAGTTGACGAGCTCATGACTTGTTTTGAAGAAGAGCTCCTAGGGTAGAACAAATGCTTGTTCTGTGCCGATCGGCTTTTTGGCTCCGAAGTGAGTTAACCGCCGTAGCCCGAGCGTTTTTTGTTGTAGATGAAATCCTTCCAAACGATTACCGCTTGAAGTACAATCTGTGACTATGTGTAGGTGATCTCGGCATGCCGATCGGGATAATTGGGCTCCTGAGCCTTCCTCTCGGATCTCCTGGTTGAGTGACGGGAAGGTGCTAAGCAGCTCCTCAGCCGACGATAATCAGTATAAGCATGGGTGTTTTGTCATATTGTCGCATATATTGTAAGCGGCATATCTATGTGGCAGCATGCCCCAACCGACGGTTTCAATAGAACAAGTGCCAAACGGGCCGAAAACATTAACATTGCAGGACATCTCAGTTATTGAAGAACTACAATTGTTTCCATTCCGGTCTTCAAGCTTTTCCCAGAATATTAGCCTCGTAAATGGTTGTCGTCTTGCCAGTGTTGCTGTTCTCGATCTGGTTTCTTATTAGCGCAGCTGATACTGCCTCCTCTTGCGGCCACGCCATCTGACCTCGTAACGGGGATAGTCCTCGCTGGCGTCGACATTGCGATCGGCCTGGCGGCCTGGCTCAGTTAAGACGCTTTTGATGACACCAACGGACTCTGAAGTCTTGGAATCGGGGCCTGCGCGGGGACGATGTTGAGTTAAGTGGTCTTTGAGGTGTGTTACTATCCGCAACACGTACCGCCGACCGGCTTATAGCGAACGGTCTGTCCAGTCTCGTAGTCGGGCATAATGATGGTATCCTTGGATTGATATTGACCTTGAGTTTTCGATGTATTTCGCGCTTGGCTCTGACGAAACCTGTTCGCATCGCTTCTCTGAATGGAATTGGCAGTCCTGCTTATATATACGAGGATTTCACATGCATCTGAGCCATAAGATCACTCTAAGCCATAAGATCACTCTAACGTCACGATACCGTTATCAGGAGCTTAGCAGGTGTGGATGACGTTGATATACTGGCATTCGGCAGGTAATCTTATTGTCATCAGTGGCGTCATGGCTTGATGGCTTTTGATGGAACCTTCGGGTCCAACTAGCCCGGACTGAAACGCGCGAAATAAATGGCCCCAATGATTTGACTGTAGTTCCGAATGGTGATCGGCGGTGATCCGGCAATGTTGCGCTGGCGTGCTGGGTGATCTGACTGTGGCCAGACCAGATGTAAAGTATGACAGGTCACCGCTGACGTATCCAAGCACTTGCGTCATTCTGGCCAGAGATGATGTAAACGCCTGGCATGAAGAGATCGAGAACGAAATGTCAAATTAGAACACCACGCTTGGGTAGCGTCACCCACACATCCACTAGGGGAGCATAGTCAACGTTGGGGGAAGAAGATTGCGGGATAACTACATCATTTCGACATCATGATGATCGTATGTGACCACACATACATTTCATGACGTCCGAGACATTGGACAAGATTTCGTCAACGAGACTGAGTAACTAATCATAGTTTGCTAAGAAGCACTTGTGGAAAGTCCGGAAAATCGGTCGATCTAGAGGACGGCGGAAGCCGATGCAACGAGCTAACGCGATGTTCTAGATAAGCGCGACACAACGACGCGAGCAAGAGGCAACTGAAGAACTATGGAGGTGGCAAAGGTTAGAGGAATTTGGCCTACGGTGTGCGGGATTGTCGTGCCGCCTAGGCCTTCTCGGCCCCAATTGCTGGCGGGGCTGGTTGATGGCCTGTGTTGTTGCCTTGTTCCTAGTAAGGACGATGATCTCGCCGGATTGCGGCCCTTCCCCCGGTGCGCACGCCATCCGCGCCAGGACGTCCAAAGATCTGCTTACGGCGGACAATTCGGCAGTGAACGGGTTCTGCATGGCTCTCACGCCCAGCTTCATTCCGAACTCGATAAGCTCGTGAGGGGTACCCTCAGCCCGGGTGATACGAATGTTGGCCAGCAATCAGGTCAGGAAAATATACGGCGCATCTTCGAAACTATCAAGAGACTGCAGGACATGGGGGTGATAGTTCGCATCAGCTGGATACCGACAGATGTAGACACGCCCCAGATCCAGACCGCAAAGAAGCAAGCCCGACATCACGCCGACCCCGAGAAGACAGAACTATGCACGCCATATCGAGCCTCATCAATGACGCTCTCAGCAATCCACAGAACCCAAGCAAAGTACCAAGCCCTGCCGGCACGGGTAGGGACATGGACCCGACAGATTGACACTGCATTCCCAGGCAGTCACACGCGCACGATATACGATGCTCTAACAGCAACGCAAGCCAGGATTCTCGCTCAACTGCGCACAGGGATGATAAGACTGAGGGGCTACCTGAGCAGAATTGGAGCCCAGGGCAGGGCATAGAAACGGTCGAACACTTCCTATTCCGATGCCAGAGATGGGACCGACAGCGAACACAAATGTAACATGAAACAGGGTCGAGGACAGGCAATCTGTCCTTCCACCTAGGAGGAAAGTCAAGAACAGACCGAGACGGCTGGGTACCAGATCTGGGCGCAATCCGGGCGACGATCAAGTTCACACTGGCAACTGGACGGCTCGAAGAAAGCCATGAAGCAGCGTGAGCCATACTAATCATCCCATTACTTAACCAAAAACCCCTCGTGCCATGATAACAGGGACGCACCAGCGGCTGAAGATGGGAAGCTGGGCACTAGAAGAAGATGGCTTCATGAACAACCTGTTAAACCCCCTACGAGAAACGTGTTGCCGATCAGGCATGGTCCTTTCTGCGACCCCAGGGGTACTTACACCTGTGGGTCTGCAGGATCCTCATTTGATGCATTCATTCTCTAGCTACCGCCCCGGTAGTATTCAATCCGTTCTACGGTTATTGGCAACTGGCCAATGGTCGTCCGGGAGTGACTGCAGGAAAGTCTCCTTTTGTACCATAACAACAACAATCAATCCACTTTGTTCAATTTCGTGGTGACAAAACGCTACCTAAGACTAACCCGCAAGAAACGAAGCGAGAGAACAGCACTGGCTTGGCGAGAAGTGACCTAAGCGAGCCAGAACGGGCCATGTGTTTATCCGATAGTGGCCTAAACCCAATCGAGCGGGCGTAATGCAGATCATCAACATCATCAGGAAGCGAATGCTACAGGACCTGACTCGAGACCTCAAGCTCCCCATTCCCTCTCTGGCCTCCTAAGCATCCGAGTAAATCACTGTCGGGGGAGGTGCGGCAAGAACCCAGTACGATGTCTGGCCGGGAGGTTTCATGCTAGTTCCGAGTTTGTGCTGCCCAGGTAGCGTCCACGCCTCTATAGAAAAGGCGCGCTCGTCTCTCGGACCATCCAGATCTAGCACTTCAGTCGCTCGCCAGCACGAGACAGGGCGGTCCGGCCCTAGCGCGATCGTCGCATCTCAAGTGCTCTGCGGGGTGCGCTAATCTCCCCAAGATTTGATCGACATTTCCCGAATATATCACTATTCGGATCGGGTTTCTTCTTCAAGAGCCATAGGCAAAGTATCGGCGGTTCGTCACCCAGTATGCGTTGATGGAGTCTGCAAGCCTCGAGCGCCCGTATGGCGAAAAGAAATCGAGCGACTGGGGGAGAAAATGAAAAGACTTCTCAGGTGTACCGGTGCCAACTCACGTAGCATCCTCATCGCAGCCTCCTATCATTTTATGGATTCAGTCTCAACTCTTGGTTACATCATCGCTTCCCCACCATGTTACCCCTCGTGGGAACGAACAAGTGACATTCTGCTCGACACCAGCAAAGAAATGACCCCAACATTGAATATCTGGACAACGTCGTCCAGCCGCAGCTTTCACACTTCGGTGGCAAAGCTATACAAGCTCACGCAGACTCCGTCAGAGGCTCAGTACTACCGTGATGGCACAACGCCAGATCCTGATGGGCACGTCCTTTCACTTAGAGATGAGCTCCAGATGGCGGACAAGATCGCCTTCCTCGCTCATTGGGAAGAGGGTGTCCGCAAGGTTTCGGCAGTGACTCTCGAGGAACAGCCCTCCGGTCTCGTCGTCGTACTCGCAAGCAACTCTACCCCGTCGCGATCCATCATTGCCGGCTTGAGAGACATCTTCGCCAAAGTATGCCAGTATTCTGTACTGAGTAAGAACCACCAATCCTAAAGTACATCGAAAGTCCGAGACTAACAGCGGTACATAGGGAAAGGGCGTCAAAATTTCTGCCGGAGCCTTTTTCTTGAAGTTCTCCGAATTAGTCAAGCGAGAATTCTTGGTCGTATCCGGCCACCCTGGGTGCAGCAGCCTTCTCACATCAAACCCCCACGACCATTTCTCAAAGGTCAGATTATGGATTTTGCAAAGCAGCTTAAGAAACGACTGATGTCGGCGCCACAGCTGCAAGTCACCTACGATCGAGTCTGCGAGCTTATTGAGTCCCTGCAGCCTTTAAATACAAGCTCGAACATGACCGAGTTGACAGGGTTCTTGAGTCCGTTATCATGAAGGTGGG